AATTGTTAACGGAATTCCTCATTAGTGAGAAGAACAAAGTGCGAGAATCTTTGTTATTGTTATTACTAATTATATTATCTTAGTTCTAGAAAGCTTTATGCTAATATAGAATTCCACTTCAAATTTTCTTTATTATTTCTTTATTCTCTCTCCCCTTTGACCTTTACTCCCCACAACTCTCACACATTATTATTTCTTTTCAAGTAAACACAATTTCCGTAGAAATTGGCATAGATCTTAAATACCTTTCTTTTCTTTTTAATATTTTCTTTATCAATTTATATCCTCTCCCAACTCAGGTTCTCGTTTGTAAGCTAATTTAACGATTAGTGAACAAACTTGTAACAATATTATTGGAAGAATTTAATTATATAAAATAAGTGAATAAATAAATAAATAAGTAAATATTAAACTAATAGAATTTAAGTAAACTAGTAAACATGAATTCATATAGTTGATAAAATATAGTTTGTATAAAAGCAATATGTATTATAGTTATTAGAATTAGATTAAAACAAGTTCTTCAATAATAATATTCTTAATTATTACCTTATAGTTAGTTATCATATATTTTTAATTATTCATATGAGTAAAATTTGTACTTTATATAAAGTAAATAAGCAAGCGCAAACTCCTCTCTATATTTTTTTAACAAAATATTCTTGTTTTTTGTATAATTACTTTAGCATCTTTGCTATAAGTGTTGTATAATTCTTGAATTAATATTATAGTGGCTTAAGCATATTTGCCAGGAGCACTATAAATATGATCATCTTAATATTAAGTTATCTGAATATATTTGTAATAAAATCTATTGAAAATTATATTGAATAAAAAAATTATTATTATAATTTATAAATCTATCTTTGAGATTGTATTGCTGATAATACATTACTTATAAATTTACCTTTGATCTTGTATTGCTAAAAATATATTATTCATATTTAATCTCATATTGCTAATAATACAAATATTATAATCTTTATAACTTTGACTTTGAGATTTTGAGAACTCTTTCTAACAATTCAGATTATTGTGTTAAAAAAATACAACTGTTATCAATCTTTAAGTAATTTTATCACTAGTACTTTTAGTACTTATTTATATTCAGTTTAATAGTTATAAAGTATAATTAATACTTTGAATTATCATTAAGATATTGGAAGTTTCCTTTGAATATTTCTTTAATTTTTATAAATATCTTTAAATATTTTAAAAATTAATCAAAATGATAATAATATTATATATTTTAATATATATTTTTTTTAGATTTTTTAAATTTAATCTGATAAAGATATTCTAATTATATAAAATTAATAATTTTTTATAGTAAAATATATATTGATTTTATATATAATTAGAATAACTTTATCAGATTAAATTTAAAAAATCTGAAAATATATATATATAATTATTTTATTATTTTATTTTGATATAAAAATAAAAATATTATTAGTAAATTAAAAACTTTATATAAAGAGAAAAACTTATAATATTCATATTTTTACTATATTTTATTAATAGATTTCTTGGTATTTATATTATTATTATATAAAAGTTTTTAATTTTATTAATAAATTTTTATATTAAAATAAAATAAAAATATATTATATTTTAACATATATTTTTTTTGATTTTATTAGATTTTATTTATAAAATTATTCTAATTACAAAGTTATTATAAGAATTTTTTATAATTAATTAATTTTATATTTTAATTATAATTTTAAAATTTAAAAAATTCAGAAAAAATATATATTAAATTATAATCTATAATCTTTATTTTAATATAAAAATAAAATTATTTATTAATAAAATTAAAAACTTTTATATAAAACAAGAAATTTAATTTTTATTATATTTTATTAATAGATTTGTATATATAATTCTATAATTTTGAAAGTCATTATATTAATTAAAAATTTTGTAATTCTAATTATCACTTTAAATTAATTTTGAATACTGACTAATAAAACAAATTATTAGTAATTATTTATTTGATATAGTATATTCTAATTTATAATATACAAAATAATTTAATAAGTTAATAATATATAATTTTCAATTATTTATAAATAATAAATAATAATTATTTATTAAATTATAAAATCAAGTTTTATTATTGCTAATTAGTCAAGTAATTAATTTATAATAAAATTAAATATCTTTATAATTGCTTTTGTACAGTTATATTATATAAAATTATTCTTTTTTCAAGAACCAGTTATAATAAAAGCAACTTCATTAATTATAAAATTCTGTTATAATCATATTTATAAAAAAATCACTATTGGATCCAGCAATATAACTAAAAAGAAATTGATTGTATACAAAATTTTCCAAATGTAAATAACAGTTAAAATACGCTTGCTAAAAAATTACTAATTATTTGAAAAAATCATTGATTAAGAATTCAAATCATACATATCACTATTTTTAAGCTTTCTAAATCTAATTCGTCTAAAATATATAATATAATCTTTCAAATGCAATACCAACGTTTTATGAAACCACAGAAACAAGCTTTTTGAAGAGTTTAAAATAATTTCATATAATGAGAGGAATCAAATCTGTAATATAAATTTTTACTAGATCAGATCAGATATAGGTTTGATTAATTTGTAATGAAACACCACAATGTGTCCCAGCAAATGGTTATCATTACCATTACTTTTTGATAGATCTGCAAGTCCCATGTCGTAAATGGCCATATAAAAGATTCCCTCTAGTAGTAGACCCCTGTATTGTACTCTCAGCTATTAACAACAAATTTAATAAAACCAGGTCTATTATATAAAGTTAAATAATGTAATCATTCTTTAAAAGTAGAAAATTATGTTTATATAGTGGATTTCCGTGCCGTGTAATAGACCCCGGGTATAATACAGGTTTCTAAAGGTCTTTCAAGTCTCAAGATGGATCGATCAACCCCAGCAGTCGAATCTGACGTGCAAAACAGAAAAAATAGGTACTAAATCTAATAAAAATGTCGGGAAGACAATTTCACATATAACCATAAACTAGGGATAGGAATCGATTCTCTAGAATTGATTAATTAGAATCGATTAATTTAGAATCGATTCTGAGAATCGATTATTTTGTAGAATCGAGGTAATACATGATTTTGTGAAACATGCAAATGTTACAACGCATAAGAAACTACGTAACTACTCTGTCATTAACAAAAAAATGTTATATTGATAATAACCAAGAACTATTGCAAATATAGAGTTTAATAACTCTGACAGTGATACTAATGCCACAAGTAACTGATCCAAATTTGAATGATATTGATGAAACAACAGAAAATACATGTAATGAAGCGGATACAGAATCTCAATCTGATGACAATACTTTAATTGCCTCTATACTATCTTTACCATGTAGTATCAACTAATCAAAGTACAACTTCAACTATTTCAACGAAATGGGAAAAAAATCAACATGCAATGAAAAACAAAACCAAAGATCAGTTATGTCATCGCTTGCTGTCGTCGTCGTCATCATCGTCGTAATTTATGCTCGAGAATCGAAATTATTAATCGATTTTAGAATTGAATCTGGATTGAGAATCGATTCCTATCCCTACCATAAATCAAACTGTCACAAAACTAAGCCGTTACATAGTTGGGACGTTAATTGGGACAGCTGGGACGGGAAAATGTTTGGGACATATTAAATGTACAATACTGCCCTAAAACACTAACGCCTAGCCTTAACATATTTGTTAAATGGGTGGAAAATAAGTGAATTGAACGTGACTATGCATCAAAAAACCGAATCTAAATTGCAAAAAAGTAATATCAAAAACGAAACTTCTGGTAAGCAAAATCCATATCAATATCGATATAGCTTAGAAATGTAAAAATTACAATTGGAAATATTTCAAATTTAACAATAATTATAAGTTATACTAAAGCAACTCCAATAATTACCGGCGCAAATCGTAAATGAATTCATTCTTTGAATTCATTCTTTGAATTCATTTAAATCTTTTCTATTATTATAAAGTACCCCACCCTTGTAGAAATTTAAACCTTAATTTAATTCAAGGCTAATAAAAATTGCACTGTGAATCTTGTTGCAAAAAAATAATTGGTTCTATTAAACAATTGGAATAAATTAAAGTTGTAAATGTTCTGCTAAGGGGGTATGCGGCAATAATTCCAATTCTTCTGATACTCTTCCAATGACTAATAGCAAAAAAAATTGATTGGAAGATCACATTTGGTAATCGTTATCGTTATGCTTGTTTTATTGATCAGTTTATACATTTGGGATCAATCAGTCAGTTGATATCGATATGATACATATAATTAATAAATACATGTACACAACGATAATTTCTAAATTAGGAAACATTCAACCGAAAAATGTGTTCCGTATCGGTATTGCTTTTTGTGTTTACACTTCTGTGCACGATTTTAATTTTCAACAACGCTGCTCAACCAAAAAAATATCGTTGTCATGTATGTAGATGTTATAATAAACGTTCATGGACTGCTCCTTCCACATACGATTGGCAAATTCCTTCTCTTGCCGCATACGATGACAACGGCCACTATTTTTATGACTATTATTATAACCATTATCCAAAGCCTCCAATAAGTAATGATTATTATGATACCGCTTGGCTACCAATCGATGCATCAGACGAAATATTACCCGCTTCTTCAAATTTGAATTCTTTTCCCGATCTCGACGAAAATCAGAATAATATTTCTCGAGATGACGAAAATGAAAAACAAGCACATGCATATAATGGTAATACGATTACATCACCACCTCCAGCAACCAGTAATACCACGATTACGATTCAGGCAATGATTACTGTTCCTTTAAATGCCACCAATGACACAAATGTTGCATCAACCGTTTCTCAAACACCACAAAAAAAAGTACATGTACATGAAACAAAACGATTTATTACATGTGTAACAAGATCAGATGAAAGAAATCAAAAATCAATCACAGATAGCAAAGTTACTGAACCTAAACCACCACCACTTAAACATAATACGTTAATTCCGGGAGGCAGCGAATCAGCGACAATAACAAATAATAATAATAATAATGATACTTGTATTGTGATAGATCTCACAGCGACCGTTAATACAACATTTTCGAATCCGGCTGCTAAAACTAAAAATGCTAATAATAAGAGAAAAAGAAAATTATGATCATATTTGTAATTAGTAATATTGTTTTGAAATAGCATAAATAACTCTTTTCATTAATTCTTTATTTTTTGATTTTGTATAAATTAACTAAATGACTTATCAATAAAAAACGAAACGAGTATGTTAAATCATCATGTTACAACCATAACGATAATAATAATGTGAATTAAGCCATGTACACGTACGTATATATAAACATAAACTAACAAAAAACCTCGTACTTTAGAAAAATTGATCATAAACATTAAAGTCAATATTTAATTTTTCGTCTTTTATATCAGCAAATAACTCCACTGCTAAATTATCTCGATGCAAATATGAATTTAACAGGAACTTCACTACCTCAAAATCATAATGACCCTTCTATATCGACAGGAACTCTGGTTGCTACTACTATATTATCAACGACTATTGGCCTGTTAGTGTTATCTATTTGTTATTTACATTCCTATTATCAAAAAACTAGAAGCATACAGAATAATTTGGCACTAGATTCTGATCGGGATGTAAAACTACTATGATCAAAATCTTTTTTCGACATTTATTTTAATTATTTTTGACTGAACTAAGTTATGTGTAACTATTTTGCTTTGTATTCGTGTTTATATACATGTAATTTAACATCCTCGAATTTAATGTCAGTATTTTTAAGTTATTAATTTTTCATTATTCTTAGTGCATCATGTTATTTAAATAAAAAATAAATATTCCCAATAATTTTATGTTGTTCAAAATTACACAGCTACAAAACTATTCGACTTGCTTAAATCCAAAAACAAAAAGCAACACTCTTTGTCAATGGAGCAAACATTCAATGCATTTATAACTACGTACGTCGAACAATCAAACAAATAGTTGCCGATGGGCACCAAATAGCAACATCTTTCTTTACCAACACTACAAACGACCAAATACGCTTCTAAATCAAGAATCATTGGGCTTTTGCCTTGGTATTTCCGCCCAACTTATAAAGATGAGTACTATGATTCTCGCACCTTCAAGAATTTGGACTGTTATTACTTGGAACATTGTTAGCAACAGTCAAAACAAGTTTATTGAGAAACCGTTATCAATGGTCTCATAATACTAAAGAGCCAACCATTTCTGATGTTGCAATATTTGTGATTTTAAATTGTAGACTGTTTGTGAATGCTTGGATAAACTGGATTTATCAATTTAGTACAAGAAAATCAAATAACGATAGGCCTTGGACTTGTTACTACGTAGTAATGAATTAATTGGCAGTCCACAAATGAAAGAGAATTAAACCCCGAGTCTGCATTTCTGATGAAGTCTCATCTTTTAACCAAATGGCTCGAAATTTATATTAAAAAAACTAAGGTTTAAGCATTTTATTTCATTTCATCATATGAATTTTATAAGTATAAAAATACGAATTTGATGTCAATTAGTCAATTTTGTGCAAATTCGCCCTACAATTTTTGATCTAAGCTATAGAAAACTCAAAATTTACATACATATATTGTTTAATATATTTTGTGATAATATAAAAATTTTCGATATTAAATCTTAAAGCTCCATAATTTTTAAAAAAATTTGATTTCAATTTTCAAAATTGAACAATTTTGAAAACAAAAACTGTATATCGAAATATGTATATTAAATATATATGCATTGTTTATTTTGTTATAATAATTTCATTAATGAACTGTCAATTAATTAATTTCAATTTAATAAAAATCATTTTCATTCACTAACTCAGAAAGTATACAGTCAAATCCCTCTATAATCACAGTTAACACCCCTTTATAGTTATCTTATTTTGCTTTTCTATTTATATATAAATAGTAAAAAAATCTCTCAATAGTCATAACCTCTTTATAGTCATCCAATTTTGCTTTTTCAAGGGTGATAACTATAGAGGGGTTTGATTGTAACTGAAAATCTTGAATAAATATAATATTATAAAAGTTAATTTTTTATTAAACCAACTAAAAATAGCTTCTTAACTGTTGTAATATATGACAAATAAAGTATTATTATTTTATAACTAATTATATATAACTTATTGTTACAAGTTACAATATGATATTACATACTGTAATTATAGTTCTATTTTTAAACTAATCTTTTATATAATAAAAAACTTGTTTATTAATAACATAATAAAATTTTATAACAAATAATTTTTTTATAAGTTTTAAAAAATAATGCCAAGTTTTAATATATAATAAAAATAATTATTATAAAAATAAATAAACTGATAATATTTACTAATAATAAAATATTTAATTTATAACTTTCTTATATATAAATTAAAATAATATTTGATTATAAACTTATACTATTAAAATATAATAATTAAATAATATATTTAGCTTTTTATATTTATAGTTATCTAAAAGATTTTATAAATACTAAAATTTTGAATATTAAAAATAAAATCAAATGTAAATTAATTAAATTTGGTAAATTCTTTTTTTTAATATTTATTCAAATTTAATTTATTATTTTTTTAATTTTTGTAAAAAAATAGAATTCTTTTTTTTGAAAATTTTTAAAATTCTTAATAAAAATCTTAATATTATTTTTAGTTAGCTTTTATCAAACTTATTTTAAATTAAATATTTCAAAATATATTTTGAATAATATTTATCTAAAAAAAACCTAAAATAAATTAAATATCAATTTTTAGACTTATTTCAAATTTTTTCAGATTAAATATTATTTTATAATATATTTTAAAATATTTAATTTAAAATAAATCTAATAAAAACTGGCTAAAATTATTATTAAAATTTTTATTAAATATTTATTAGATAAAGCACAAAAAATAATTTAATTATTTAAATTTTTATCAAATTGAATATAGAAAATAATTCAAAATTTAATTTTATTAGTTTTTGTCAGATTAAATATAAAAATAATCTAAAATATCTAAAATATTAATAAATAAATAAATTTATTTTCATTTTATTCTGTTTATTAGAAATTTGACTTTATTTTGATTTTGATTAGTTTTTATAAAATTAAATACAAAAAATAATCAAAAAATAATTTTAAAAAATAATTTTAAATATCTGATTTTTATCTAATTTTATTAGTTTTTGTTAGTTTAAATATATGAAATAATTAAATTAAATATAAAAATTAATCTAAAATATCTGATTTTTATTAATTTATCAGAAAATAATTCAAAGAGAAAGAATTCATTCAAGAAATCAATTAATATATTACTAAATCAGATAAACTATTGAAAGAGATTAAAAATATCAAAGTTACATCCCTTCAAATACTTAACATTACCAATTTATAAGACATACTCAATAAAATTTATCAATTATGCAAGGAAGTTCAAAGATTTTTTTAAATTAAATATATATATAAATGATTTGAAAAATTTAATTTTTATCGAATTGTAATTATTATTAATACTATTTAAATAACAAATAAATTTGAAAAGTTTTCAAGTAGATAACCTGTTTTTAAAAATATTTCTCAATTATAAATTTGTACAAATATTATAAATTATATTTTTTTATAAATATCATATATAATATACTAATAAATTATCATGTATTATTAGCAAATTTTTTTGATTCTAAAAAGTATTTATAACTTTTTTTTATTTAAAAATAAAATATATAATATTATTAAGTTATAAAATTTTTATTTTAGAATTAACCAAATTGCTTAATTTTTAAAAATCAAGTAATTTAATTAGTTCTTGAATAAAAATTCTATAATTTAATAATATCATATACTTTATTCTTAAATTAATAATAATATTTAAAAATATATAAATAAAAAAATTATAAAATAATATTTATCTAAAAATAAAATTATGTATAATATTAAAGATACTTTTTGTTATTTTTTTAATATTTTAATTAAATTTTTTTTAAAGATTAAAAAATCACTTTTTCTAATTTAAAAATCTAAATAATTAATTGAATTTAAATTAAAACTTTGAATAGTTTATTTTAAAACTAAAACATTATATATTTATATTTATTAATTATAATATAAAATATAATAAAATTATTATTTTGCTAAAAAATTATATAAGAATAATTATTCATTCAAGAAATTAAATATTTGAAAATATATTAATATAACTATTAGAATCAAAATTGTTATTAACTTTTATTAAATATTATTAATACTCTATCAAATTTTACTACTAAAATCATATAATTCTTTAGATTTTTTTCAAAAAATTTTGTCATATTCTTGTATATTCATCTAAATAAATATTATAATTTTTTTATTTTTTGTATTATTATAAAAGATTTTTTATATTAAATATCAAAAAAAATTTATAATTTATAACTTATATAATGAAATTTAAATATCAATAATTTTAGTAATATAGTCAAATCTCTCTATAATTATATTTATTTATAGTCATATCTCTTTATAATTACTCTATTTTGCTTTTTTATTTAAATATAAATATAATAAAAATTTCTTTATAGTCACATTTTTTCTATAATCACCAAATTTTTGCTTTTTCAAGAGTGATAACTATAGAAATATTTGATTATATTAGAATAAATTAAAGTATTAATATATATATTTAGTTAATTAATAATTTTAATAAGTAAAACTTTATAATATACTTTAAATTTTGTTTATTATATTCTAATAAATTTTTTGATTTTTCAATATATTTTATAAAATATAGAGTAAGAATACTTGCTAAAATCTCTTAGTGATTATCTAAATTTTATTAAAATTATAATAAACTATTAATAAATAGGATATCAAAATTTTGTCAAATTTTAAAATTTATTATTACAATTTGAATTTATTCAGATTATACAAAAATTAATATTAAAAATTTAAAACTAGAAATTATATTATAATTTATCTTAATTTTTTAATTTAAATAGTAATTATTAATTAGTTTAGATTTTATATTGATTAATTTAATATAAATTAATATACAGATAAATAATATTTCTTTTATAATATCTAGATTTTTCTTTATTATTGTAGTAATATACTTATTAATTATAATTTAAATAATTATTAATTTTACTTTATATTTTATCTATTATTAATTAATTATAAATACTTTAAATTATTAATAATTGCTAGAATATTTTATTAATAATATAATTTCTTATATATATATATATATATATACTATAATTAAACCTCTTTATAATTATATCTATTTATAGTTACATCTTTCTATAGTTATCTTATTTTACTTTTCATTTACATATAAACATAGTAAAAAAAAATCTCTCTATAATTACATCTTTTTTATAATCACCAAATTTTGCTTTCCTAAGAATAATAATTATAGAGGAATTTGACTATATTATATTTTTGATAACAGTACAATTAATTATAATAAAAAAATATTTAAACTGTTTTATATTATTACTCTGAAAATTTTGAATTATAATAATTGATGAATTCATAAAGAATCAGTTATATACTGTAATTGAAAAAGAATCTTATATATATTTCTTAATAAATTATTCACTTTTAAATAATTATATTGATTAATATTAATTATTATTAGTTCAAATTCATAAAGATCTTATATAAAAAATAATGAATTCTAAAGTAATAATTTACTTTTAATAAACTTTGTACACTTTCTTATAAGATTTACTCAATTTTAAAGAAGAAAAAGAAAATACTATCATTATCAAAAACTATTATTACAATACTATTAATATTATTATTTTTATTTATTATTACTATTAATACTGTTATCTTCAAATAAATTTAATTGAAACTCTGCTATCAGTCACATTTCTTAAAAAATAGCAATAATGATATTACAAGCAAAATATTTTATAATATATTTATTTTATTAATAATTAATTACTTTTATTATATTTAATATTTTTAATAATTTAAATTTATTTAAATTAATTATTTATTATTTTATTTAATTATTTATATTTCTATTGAATAAATTTGAAATTATATAATCTCTTTATATAATTTAAACAAGTAATTATATATATATAACTTTCTATGTAATTTATTATTTATTATCATTTATTATTATAACTTTTTATAATTTATTATAATTTTTATAATTTTTATAATTTCTTATAATTTCTTGTAATTTCTTATAATTTACTCAAATTTATTATAATTGATCAGAATTTATTATAATTAACTAGAAATTATCTAAGTTTATCTTTATTATTCTTTATTATTCATTATTATTCATTATTATTTATATTTAACTATTATTAATTATAATTGACTATAATTAACTGTACTTAATTATACTTAAATATACTTAATTATAATTAATTATAATTAATTATTTAATAATTTTGTATCAAAAACATATAAATATAACTGATATTATAACTATAAAAAATTAAGTTATAATTAATTAAATTCAATAAAATAAAATTGTAATAATTAATTCAATTAATAATTTAAATAAAATACTTAAATAATATTATTACATTTTGTATTTATTAAATACAACAAAATTATTTTACATATACTAATAATATCTTAATAATATTACATACATATTTATTATATTTTGATTTATAATTCTTATATTGCTAAGAATATAAAGTATACTTAGAATATAATTTATACTAAGAAGATTTATAATATTTTTTAGTACAATATTTAATAATGATATATATTATTCATTTATATTATGACTGAGATTTGAGAGCTTAATATAATAAATACATATTCATTTAACAAAAATCTTATTTGTAATATCAATAATTTATTAATATATATTATATTTATTTGATTGATATATTATATATTTATATAAAATAATATATTGCAAGCTAATTGAATTAATTTATATTTATTTTATTATTCTTCTACTGAGCTTTTACATTATTTTATTTGAAACTACTTTTATTTAACAAATAATATTTTATGATAAAAATTAACCAAAAAATTATTTCTAAATTTTGCTAAATATTTTTTGCTTGATTAATTTTAATATTGTTTATTTATTATTTGAAATTGTTATCATTATTAGTTAAGTTTATAGAATTGCATGATATTAATTTTATTTTAATTAGTTAATAACTGAGTATTTGTCTCTTAAAGTTAATTAATATTATTATAAATTATTTAATTTAATTTAGTTCAGCTTTTGAACTCAATATTTTAATTACTATTAATTAAAAGTATTTGAAAATATTATTATTCATATTATTTAGTTAAGAAATATTTTATAATATTAATTTTTATTGCAATTTATTGAATAGTGAACAAATTATTATATCTCAATTTTAAACAATTTATTTTATTATTATATTATTTATTAGTATTTTGAATTTTTGATATTATTTATATAATTTAATTAATAATTATCAATTTGTAATAATTTAAATTTATTATTCAATCATAATATCTATTATTCTATTATTATAAGTTAATATTATATAAATGATTATAATCTATTTCTAATATTATAATCTGAATTTATTATTCAATCATAATATATATTATTACATTATTAGAAATTAATATTTATTTACAATTATAATCTATTACTAATATCTAAAAATAATAATTAATCAAATATTAACTTTCTAAATCTCTTATTTAAATGAAAAACATGATTTTATGTATTGTTTTATGATCAATTATTATATTTGATCAATTAATATATCTAATTATTTAAAAGATTAATGAATTTTTATTGTTAATTTAAATAATATATCTATATAATAAAAATATTATTTCAAATACAAAAATATGAAAGGAAATTATCAGTAAAATATTACTTTAAGATAGTTTATATATATATATTTTTTTTATTTAGTAATGCTATTATAATTAAATTTTTAGTGAATATTATCATAATATAAATATTCAACTAATATTTAATAATGATAATTTTACAGTTACTTGATCTCATTATAATTAGTGTACTTCAGAATTATCACGTAGTGCATTTTCTTCTATCTATTAAATAGACTCTCACTATTACTAATAAATATTATTTCTATTTAGTATAGAATAGTTCTATAATAATACAGTACTGATATTCTATAGCAACTTGGCAGTTTGTCCAATAGTGTGCAATAAATGCAAGTAATTAATATAAGATTATTATTTTTGTATTTGCATTTTTATATAATTATCATTGATCAGTACTTCAGAAAACTTTGATAACTATCATATTTATTTTCATATAGTTATTATTGATAATTATTTATTTTTATTTCATAGATTTTTTGTTGAAGTTATATCCAAACACATTATTTCATTATTTGATATTTGAATTATAAGTTTTAATAGTTTAATAATCTGATTTTTCACATGAATACAATTACTCACTATTTTTCAGAAATAATATTATAGATAATGACTCTGAAAACGGTGATAATATATATATCACATATAAAAATTATATATTCAAATTAAATATATAAGTTATATAATTTCAAATTTATCCAATAAAAATATAAATAAATAAATTAAACTATTATTAAATTAAACTATTATTAAAATTCTTTAATAAAATAAAAGTGATTAATTATCTAATAATATTATTTTACTATGAAATATTCTAATTGTAATTGTATTATACTATCATGATCACTATTTACTAAGAGTATAATAATGAAACCTAAAATTTTTAAGATTGCTATTTTATTAATTCTTTTTGCATGATGTTAGTGACTTATTTTTCTATTAAGAAATCACGTATATTTAGTTTGAGACACTAAGCACACTTTATTAATTGAAACATAAAAAATATATCATGGATGATGTTACACGCATGTCAGCTTCGCTGAAATTATTGATTAAAGGAATTCATCAATAAATTTAGTCTTAACAATATTATTAACAATTTATTTGCGATTATACGCGTGTATATCATAACGATAAATAAAATAAAAAAACATTATGTTTTCTGTGAAAACCGTTCTATTTCTGAAATCAATCCGTCCACGAATGCCTGATCCGTACATTTGAACTCTACAGTGATACTAGCAATAACTTTCTTCTGTTGCTGTTCAGTAACAGTACTACTATTATCACTATTGCTATCGTTCGATAACGACGAAGACAACGTTTCATCTTTTTGTATTAATGAATCTTCATTGCTCTTATTCAATTTAACCAACCCGGCCACTTGGTACCCTTGTACACTCTCGCCGTATATTGACGCAGCACCGGGCACCATCTCGACAACGTGTGTGCCTGTGACGAGTGTCGTCAGCTCATCTAATGTACTCTGAAACAATTGTTCGGTGGTTTGTGATTGTATTTGTAATTGTTGTGAGGAAGAGGAAGATGATAAGAGTGCTGCTGCTACGGTGTTTAGTGAAATTGTGGCTGATCCAATAAATGGTAATTCGGAAGTTTTGGAAACGATCAACGAGAATCGTTCTGGTGTGATTGGCGGTATTTGTAGCATGTATACTGAGATGGGTATAGGGAAGGTAAACGGGAAGTCGAGTGATGTACTACTCGACGAGTCTTGGATACCGTCCGAACTCTGGACAAGAAAAAAATGGTATGAAAGAAAACTTGTCTATGTTTTTGCAAGATAAAAAAATAATATATAACACATACATGTTTTTCATAAGTCAAACGTCCATTCACATTTAATCCTGTTCCCACGATACCAAGCACTCTGAAACTGACGATCGCATCTTTTTTCTCGTCGTTTACTAACTCGCCATCTAGCCGAAGCAACGTGCTCTCGAATTGAATGTCTGACGAAGGTTCAAATTTGAACACTATTTGAGAAATAGTATATGCACTACTACTGCTGTTAGTAGTACTACTATTATCACTTTTTGACAAAGATTTGTTGGATAGTGTGAACACGGCCACTAGTGACGGTGGCTCGTTTTTTGATTCTTCTGATGACGATAGGCGAAGTGAATAATGCTAAGAGATTTTAAATTTGAAAATTAGATTTTTTTACTATATAGAAAAAAATTATATATGAAGAGATACTCACTATTTCGATTCCGTCCTCTTCCATCAGTAATCTTTCCAATGGCTCGATTTTTTCATCAGCCTCTGATTTTTTATCACTATTGGTGTCTTTTTTCTTTTTTGATGATATTTTAGTTAAAGTCGACGATGACTTTTTCTTTTTCTTCTATATTAAATAAATAATAACAATAAAACAATAGGAAAAAGTTTAATAAAAGATTGTAATGAAAAAGCACAGGTTGAAATGGAAATATCTATTTTTACCTTCTCTTCTGAATTCTCTTTCTTCTTTTTTGGTTTCTGAGATTCGGCTTTTTCTTTATTTTTAGAAGCCTTTCTTAATTTTGTTGTCGACTGTTCGCTTTCCTTGTTTTCACCCACGTCTTGTTTTGAACTCTTTTTAGTTGATTTCTTTTTCGTGGTTTCCTCTTTCTAAGTTAAAAACATGTCAATTATATTTTCTAAACGCTCAAATAACTCGCATAATCTATTTATTGATAAAAAATTCAATAAATGATTCAAAAATAGATATCTATAAAATAGACCAACCTTAGATTTGGCCGCAACTTCTACAGCTTTCGCACGCTTTACCCTTCTTTCCTCCATCATCTGCTTATTCATCCTTTCTTCCTCGCGTCTTCTCACCTCCTCCGGACTCGAATATACCGTAGTCTGCGGGAACTTTTCATCGTCGCCAAGCGGCGTCGACAAATCGATACTCGATATTCCGGAAAAGTCCACGTCCAGTATCCCCTTATTTTCTTCTTGTTTCTTTTTCCAGAGAGTCGAAGATTTTAGAGGGGATACTTGATTGTTGTGGTTGTTGGTTGTGGAGGCGGAAAGGCTATCTTTCTCATCGTCGTCTGTTAGTGTGGCGTTTTCGGGCATTTCGCCAACGTCTGTGTATATTATTGGGACGAATGAAGATGGTGTTGTGGTTTCAACAATTTCTTTGTTTTTTTTGTGGTGTTTACGCGATTTTGTTGTGAGTTTTCGATCTTGATTAAATATTTTTTTTGATTATTTGGTTAATATTAATAATAAAAATAATAATAATGAGAAAAATGCAGCTTTAGAAATTTAGTAACAATAAAAATTACCTTTATCAAAATCATCAATATTCAAATGAACAACCGGTATCAAATCGACATCAATGTCATCGCGCAGCTTAGATTTCTGTTTTTTAGATGTACTATCATCATCCATGCCAATATAATAAGGATCATTCTTCATTCTTTCTTTTCGTTCTTTTCGTCTCTACAAGTTTACATCGAACAAAGCTAAATCACAAGCGAAAAAAAAAATAGATTTTCGCATAAAAAACAAGAAGTAACAAAATTATTCACTCTTTCTTTAACATCTTCATCCTCTTCACTCCCATATTCTCTTTGCCCCTTCTTATCCCTTCGTCGTCGTCTTCCAACCGCAGTCCCATTCCCGCTCGAAAACACCAAGTCACCACTCCCGCCCACTTTCTGCCCGTATCCATACCCATAACTTTCTTCCTCCCCGTCGACTGCTTGTTCATTTTCACTGCTTTCAGAATCAGGCAATGGCTTGTTAATCCACGCATCTAAATCCAGTCCTTCGGGAATCGGGACCTTTTTTTGAGCTTTTGGCGCGACGGGGTTGAGCTCGTACGAGAAGAACAGAGGAGGAAGTTCGGTTATAATCGAGGGTGGTTTTTCGGATAGAGAGAGTTTTTCGGTTTCGGCAGCGGTTGTGTCGATTGTGGTGATGTTTTGATGAATTATTGTAATCATTTCACGTATGTTGTATGCCTATATTTTTTTCTCAATCGTTAGTCGGCGAATATATAACATATTAGAGATGAATGATGTCAATAAAAAAACCTACCCGTTCCTGAACTTCAAGGTCTGTACACGAGCAAAACATTACAATCTTCTCCTTAATAAATTCTGTGACGCGCACCAAATCCTCTTTCGCGTCGTGATCCCAATTATACAAAAGACTATTTGCCCAAAACGAATATATTTTGAGCACGTTGTGAACGTAAACCGATTGAACATTGTGCGGAAGTTTTGTTACGCCAGGTCGAAGAAGGTATTCGATGATCTCTGGCGGATCATCAAGATAACTAAAAAAAGCAAAATGTGAGTTAGTGATCGATTGCGATAATAACAATAATAATTATGATATAGTAAAAATAAGTTGGCCAAAAACCAACCTGCAATATTCACCAGCAACCCATGCAGCTGCATACAGAACTTCCGAATTAGAGTCAGGTATCGTGCAATTATCCAAAAGAGTTGAATTGGAGAGTAACTTTTGCTAAAAACAAAAAAAATAATACAAGATTTTTAATGCGATATTTTATCTGATATTAATTAACTGATAATAAAAGAATTAATAATATATATATACGTACCATAGCTCTCACACAAGAGTTCCTTACGCTCTTCACACGAACCGCAACATCCATAATCTGCGCAGACAACAAATCTCCAACCTTGACTCCAGCCACAAAAGTCAAATCGACCAACACGGCCACATACCACTCGAAATTCGTGATATTAGAATAGGAATTTTGAGAGCATATGTACAAAACACGGTTGATGATATCTGTGCGATATGCCGGTTCTAGGAGTGTTAGTGTCGCGACTGAGTTTTTTTCGTCGTCGTTGTCGTCGTCGTCGTCTGAAGATGGAAGGAGGTGGGCCATTAGACGTTTTACGATGTCTGGAAGGTTTCTTTTATTTACCTGTTATTGTTGTGATGAAGAAATAAGTATATTGATTAATTTATTAGTTTCAATAATATTGTTGTGAAATTGAAAATAATGTGTCTATGCAAGGATATGATAGAATAAAATAAAATACATTCGTACCATTCCGACTACTAAATCTAATGCACGCAATCGAATACTGATGTCCGCGTCATCTATACACTTTAGTATTATGTCGCGGTGTTCAGCAACTAATCTCGGGTGGGTTGGAAGTATTTTACTCAGTGCCAATAAACCAATATACTTTACTATTTTAGATTCATATCGTTTAGTCAAAGATAAAATAATTTGTTAATCGCTCTCTTCTTTCCTCCCTCCCTCCCACCTCGTCCGAACATTATGAAAAAAAAGGATACAATTCTGATCAGGATCTTCCAAAAAAGTCCGTAACTTATTAACACACATTGCCGCCAATGCATCTGAATTCGATGCATTCAACATCCCTCCAGTAATCACGGTGTGTATGCATTCGTACAGTAGCGACATTGCATGTGTAGTCTGGATCAGGTTGGTAATTGGCGGCAACAGTTTTTTGGATAAACGTGGTTCGAGCGGAGTAAGTGCTCCAAACTACGGATGGAAGGGAGTCATTGATATTATTTATTATAGATTGATTTTTTAAAAAATAATAGAAAGAAAAAATTTATACCAATTTTATTATTTTGATGAGCATCCAGTTATTTGAAGAGTTTGTGAGTAACTTGAATAACTGCGGAGCAAGCGACAAGTAATTTTTTGGGTTTTTACGTGCCAGTTCGCAAACAACATTAATAACAGCCGATACAACAGCTTAAATTTTATATAAAGTTAATAATAATAAATATCACCAAAAAAAATGATGATTTTTCTCAAAACCCAAAAATACATTAAATAAATAAAATATAAATAAAACAATGGACTCACAAGGATCCGAATCCTCCAACCGCTCCTTTAACCTCGGAAAACTCAATCGCAGCGCCTCGGGGAACTTCAAAAAGATCTTGTATAACACAAGCACAACTTTCTTGCGGATGTACGGTCGTGAATGGCCAAGCATTGATACCAGATCCTGCGAGAGGTCGCGTGCTAGGTCCGGCGTGACTATGTGTGAGAGACCGTTCAGCGCGACGCCTACTTCGAGGTGGTTGCCTGATGCGAGGTCCTATTTATTATGTTGATTAATAGTTATGTTTGGGCAATGAGAGAGTGTGTGATATTAATTTGAATTTAAAAATTAAAAATAGTATTTTTTAAAGATTTTTTGATACGAGTAATCTAATATTTTTAATAACACCCGATCTATTAAAATAATAAATATCCTACCTTTTTCAACAGATTCGTGGTCAACATCAAAACATCGGTATCCTGTCGAAACGACTGCGTGGCAGCCAAATACCCAGATCGTTTTTGAATAAACTTTGCAGATGACATGACTTCGACGACATGAAACGAAGCCCATGACATATCATATCCAATCATATGAAGCTTTATAATTTTTCAAGATGGTATTTTTTATTCAACCACCAAAAAAAATCAATAATATAAACCAATTAAAACAACAATATGCACCTGATTAACATTATCAATATTATAATTTATAATTATTCTCACTTTGGTGACATACATATGTAAGTTTGGAAATAGCCGTAGCTTTCACGTCTGGGTCATTGCTCCTGACTTCTTTCTGTATTTCCTGGAGACGCTCGGCAATGTACTTTTGTTCATTCTTTTTGTTTGTTCGTATGCCACGAATTAATTGTGTTAGATTGTCTTCAAACATTTAACAATGCGAGTAGAGAGACAGATTTGATTGATTTTCCATGATAAGGTGTCTCGTTGATCCATATGTCAAAGAATACATCCAATCAAGGCATTTGTTGATAAATAGAGATCTCATATCGATTGATATTCGATTAGTTTCTAAACTTCATTCACTATCGCTATATATACCAAATTAATTAAAGGTTGATTTTAGGATTAGGGAAAAGGCTATATGTAAAATTGCCTCCCGACATCTTTTTATTAGTGCACCAAAAGTTAGATTTAGGCATTTGCTTCCCGTATTCTTCACATTTTTTGCTTTTTTTATTTTCTTGTGTCGGGTTTGTTTTGCCGGGCTGATCTAAAATTTCGCGACTAAAATCTATCTAGACTGATCTTTGTGATCTCTGGATTAAACAGAAAGAAGCGACAAAAATCACGATTTTCAATGGATAGGTGTCGTTTTGAACAACTGCAAGTATTTGTTGAAATACATGACACACCATTAGAACATTGGTTTAATGTAATTCATATTGTTATTTTTATTTTCTACTGATGACACGCTATTACGATTAACTGGATCTCGAAATAATGACTATTGATTGCATCCAAAGCTCCGGACTATCGGGTGGCTATACGTTGGTAAGTGTTCTTATATTGATTGGATTAATTAGCAATTTTCTGACGAAAAAAGTATGAAATCGGAAGGACATTAAATGATACTGCAGTTGTTTCGTTGCTGACTGCTGTTCTTCAATAAAAGGCATTTTTTTAATCTTGAAAGTTGAATTTGAGAAAACTATTTACTAATAGATTTTGCATTGTAAAAGATAATTCATAGTTTTGTCGATCTAAGCAAAAATAACTAATTGTAGAAACAGCATTAGTATCATCATCGCCATTCCTATAATATCGCGCCATGGAATTCCCTAAATCAGATACAAATTTTTCTCATTTATTTATCTGCTCACAAAACAACTAAGAAGCTTGAATTTCATCTAATACTTTGAGATGTTGGTTAAAATAGGAAAAAATATCCATAAAGATGTTTTCATCCATGACTCATCTTTATGAAATTTTCCAGAGTTGATTACTCAAAATAATACCTCAACCATCTCCATTAACAAAAAGAAAGGTTTTTTATGTGCACATGTTTCAAGTAACAAACAAAAAGAAGATCTTGAAAAACAAAAACAGATCTTTAAATTCAAATTTCCAAATTATAAATTTATTAATAATATTAAATCAGATATTAACTTCAAAAAATGGATTTAAGAGATTATTGGAAAGATTAAGTAAAAAAATGATCTCAGAAATTATAATTATTCATTATAATTAACTTTACAAATTTATATTTGTTTTTATTAAATATATATTTTTATTATATTTTACAAAATTCATGATTTTCTTTAATAAATCAAGCTTCAATAAACATGAATTATTACAAAATATTTTTGCAATCAACATTATCTTTCATTGAAAATTTGAAATACTAGCAGAATTACAGTAAATATCGAATCTGATAACAAAAGATGAAAAAAATAAATTCAGTTTAAAGAATTGCAAATATCTTCACATATAGTAAATCAAATTAAATGAATTTGATACCATTAGAAAGATTTAGTCAAGACACATTTAATAATATCAAAATCATTGAATTTGATTTGCTAGATACAAAGATATCACATTTTAAAAACACTATACAAAATTGTGAAAAAATTTTGTATAATTTTGTAGTATTTTTAAAATGTGACATCTCATCTAGTTAGCCAAATTTAATGATTTTAATATCATTAGATATATTTTAACTAGATCTTTTTAATGGTATCAGATGCATTCAATTTGGTCTACTGAATATAAAAATATTTGCAAAAATCAATTTTCTTCGCAGAATAATAAAGAAATTTTGTACAATTTTGAATGATTTTGTACAGTATTTTTAAGACACAATATTTGTATCTTGACTAGATCTTTCTAATGGTATCAAATTTATTTAATTTGGTCTACTACATGTAAAAATCTTTACATTTTTTTAAACCAAATTTATTTTTTTCACCTTTCATTGCTAGGTTTGAAGTTTATTGCAATTCTGCTAGTATTTCAAATTTCTGATATTATTTATTAAATACAAAGAAAAAGAGCAATTGTATATTAAAAAAAATGAAAGAAACAAAAACAATAAAAACATGAAGCAAAAAAAATGAATTAAAATATATCCAAATCATTTTTTGAAAAAGGTCTTGAAAAGATAACTTGAATTAATGAAATATATTTATAATATTATTATTAAATAAAACAAAAATTATCATTTCATAATAATTCTAACATTTTAAATAAATAAAATCTCAAATACTCAATAAAATACTTAAATTATATATAAATGTAAAATTATAAAGATCATATATATGAGAAAAATATAAATTTCTTCAAATAGTTATATAATTAAAATTATAGCTTAAAAATTTATATGATAAAGTATCTGCGAATATAATTAATAAGAGTATTGATAAAGTTTTGATAGTTAAAGAAAATATAATACAAAAAAAACTAAAAAATCATTATTATCATTTAAATCTAAAAAAGATTTATGACAAACAATGATTATTTATGCATAAAACTTTAAAAATTATTTTTATATTATACATCTTTATAATTCTTTAACTTTATCATCAAAATGATACAAATTCAACAAATTAAAAAATGAAAAATATGATTTGTATTCATTTTATTTTGAAATAAAGAAAAAGTATAATAAATAACAATAGCAAAAAATAGATTGTGATTGTAAACTTACATATATACATATATAAAGCAAATGAATAAATATTTTATTGGATATATGAAATACAAAAACAGATTTGTAAAACACAAATAGGAGTTCATGTAATTTCAATTAATCCAGAAGTTCATACTCCATTTACATATGATATGTATTTTTTATTATTTGAATACATGGATAATTTTATATTGAAAAAAGACAAACTGATATCTTTAATCTCGAAAGAAAGCATTTTGAATTAACAAAGCTGTTTTTCGTATGCAACGAAAGATCAAACAATTGCAAAATAAGATTCATTAAAAAAAAAATCAAGTTCTTAATTGATGAATTTGACATGATTGTCCCTTTTTCAAATGGTGAACAGAAAAACACGAAAAATAACAAGAAAAACAGTTAGAAAGATGTTTTGTTGATCTTATTACAAGTTTCAACAATTGATTTCAAAAGCAAAAGAGAAAGAAATCCATGTGATAATCCAAAACGAGGCTTACACGTCAAAGACATGTGGTTGTTGTGAAAACATTCAGAATATTGGAGGATCAGAAATGTAGAAATGCAAGAATTGCGATATAAAAATAGATAGAGATATCAATTGCGCCGAGGGATATTCCTTCGGGCTTTGCTTGGAGCCATGATCTTGTCATAAGACATCTTCATGCAGGAAATAGTAACTTAGTATTGATTATCATTGATGTGTTGCAATCCACCCGCCCATTCTTTTCTCGTGATAAAATACGGGTAATAAATATATATGTCGATTTATTGTCTAATGATAAGAGATTCAGCTCATATTTTGTTCCTTAAATTATAAGATGTAAATCTATGCAAAATGCTAATTATTAATTTTTCTATATTGAACGAATAGTAATAAAAAAGAGGACACCCAGTTTTCACACGGATACGCAAGTCTCAGAATATACAATGATGTAATTATCCCATTCGTTCCGTGAAATCCGGAAAGAAAATACTTTTTTGCGGGTCCAGTTTTATTCGCTCGTCTTTAAGCATTCTAAAAAACGCGAAAGAAAAACCAGATCATAAAGAAACTTTTTAATCAAAAAAAAATAATATGTATTTCTTAAATTAACCCTTCCAAGTGACAAACAAAAAACACACCTGTTATCCAATCTCGGGTCTTCACCCTCAACTCCAAGACTCATCTGCGGCGTCTTTGCCTCAAGCACATAATGGTTATCACAGTGCGGACAATACTCATCGTTCTCTTCGTAATTCTCCATATCTTTACGAAAAACTTTTTTGCATTTCTTGCACGCGAATACCATTTCCGAGGACTTGCGAACCGGATGATCGGCTACCTCGGTGTGACACTCAGCACAGTCGAACCATCGTTTACAACAAGCTGCTCGAATGGAGACCTAATCCAAAATTTTTCGAGAAATTAGACAGTGCAAGTAATATGGTGTTGTTCAAGATCTTAGATTCATTCGGATTTTTTGAGACGAACCCCACGAGTAAAGCTAAATCTCATTCTAGTCTCTTGGTAAATTAGTTAATACCTGTGCGTTTAATATGTGTTTGCACATTTTGTGTCTAGAAGCTTATATTTGATAGATTAGGATTTTTTTTCCTTTGACAGAACAAGTATGATAATAGTAGTTTTAAAACTAACCAAAATTCATTCAACGATATGATCGGCGAAGATCTGTAACTTTCTGGATTCTTGTGGCCAAGTCCATACAATATGGTGTGGCAGAGGCCTGAATAAACTCTTAATGTTTGGGTTTTTTTAGAGCGGAGTCTTTCTTGGCTTTTTTTGTATATTACGAACATTTTTTACGAGCTATTGTTTGCCTGCTCTCTCTCTCTTATATTTCTTTCTTTCCAAACTTTATGTTTAATAAAATAGAAAAGCGAATAGACAAGTAATAATAAAATAAAAATAGTATAATTGTAATAATAATATTTCCAAAATGAAATTGTGGAGTTCTGCTGATTTTTCCGACCAAGGGTCAATGGACGAAACAAGTCCATTTGATTGTTTCAAGCTTACTCGTACACAACGTCTTTATGGGTTTGGTATATGGTGAGAAGAAGAGTTAGTTTGTTGAGCAAATTTTTTTGCATTTAAGCTTTTTTTAATTGATTTGGTTTATTTAGTTTTATTCTAGGCTTTGTGATTAGTTTCCTGGTAATTAATTAACCTTTAATAAATAAAATATTTTTATATAATGAGTTTTTCTCGAAAGATTAAATTTTAACAAAGAATATGATTATTTTTCTCTAAATAATCAAACGATTAGTCGACATTTGCACTTTCTACTGGCAACATTACCGGATTTGCTGTCCTGTACACTATTGGTAATGTCGTGTCACTCGTCAGGTAAAGGAGAAAATGCTGTTTTAATTGTGATATTTTTGATTAATCAATGAATTATTTATTAAAATAATTCATTTCTGTTTTCAAGTACGGGATTCTTGGTTGGATTCGGAAAACAAATAAAAACAATGTTTGCTCCTGGTACGTTTTTCAATAATTATTACAAATAATGAGTAGACAATAATGATCGATGTTTTTGGTTGATATTCTTTAGTTCGTCGGGTGGCATCTGGAGTTTTTCTTGCAGCCATGGTGACTACCTTGATAGTCGCATTCTTGGTAAGTGACTTCTTTCTGTTTATCACGGTAAAATCATTCGTTCCCAATAATCATTATTCATGTCATACTATTTGATAATTACCATTAGCTGCAAAGTTTTATCCTCTGTCTAATCATGTGTATTGTACAGTTCTTGGCTCTATTTTGGTATTGGTAAGAAATCATTCAAACCTCTAATTCTTTCGCGTGTATAAAATAAATTGTTGTTCTTTTGGTCTCACATTTTTTCCTAATATCATATTTTAATCGATAATCTTTAGCGCAAGTTACATTCCTTATGGCAGGTGAGTGATCAAAATTAAAATAGAATAAAGTAAATTTTCCAACAAATTTAATAACTCTTATTTATAATCAACATATAGAACGATCATCAGAAAGGTGTTTGGTAGCTGCGTTGATAGTGTATAGACTAAATCCCTTTTATCTTCCGGTTCTTTTCATGATGATGGCAGTGACGATTTCGCACGATGAATGAAAAAATGAAAAAATTAATATGATCTTTTTCTTTGGCTCCCTATTTTCATATATATATATATATTAGCCATGAAAATCGAGGCAACATTTCATTTTATTCTTATTTATTAGCAAGGTTTACATGCGTGTGTTGTTTGTTACAATCAATGTAGATTTTCTTTATTGTATAATAACAATGTTTAATTGATTGCTGTTGCAGAAATAATGGTGCATGATTATCATGGGCTAAAAGTATTCTGTGATATTTCTTTAATTTCATTCTTACATATCGTGTATGTATATATGATAAATATATGTCAAATCGATGGATGCCGCATTCATTCCAAGAACTAAATTTGATTAATTCGTTCGTTGGTGGTTGTTTTGTCACGAGAATTCGCGATTAAACGAGAGCGAGAATTGAAACTGTCTCTGAAAATGTTGTTCTACATCAACGATTATTATTCGTGGTGATAATGCTTATTGATGTCCTCCAAAGGAGACGAAGGTGAATTCGCAGCAGCCGGAAAAGGGTCATCTTTTCTCGCATCACTAATTATCTTGTCTATTTTCTTTTTTTTAACAGCGTCCTATTGGAATAAAAAGTAATCATCAAAAGGATTAATTTGAACAAAAAAACGAATTCCTCGGCAAAATTTGAAATTCCCTTTCGAGGTCGACCATCTTGGCACGTCTTTTCATAGGATGTAAATTCTTGAATAATTACGATCGCGCACCTTCAACTTTACAAATTACCGCAAGGTTTTCTTTTAAGATAAAAGAAAAATTAACCATTAAGTTACGTACCAGCACACAAGCACGATATGCCTCAAATAATTCTTTGCATTCAGGTCGCACGTCGCCTTTAAGGAATTTTTCGGAGTACCATTTATTAAAACACTTGTCGTATTCGATTTTCAAGTCGTTGCAGTTTGTGCCTATACTTTGAGACATTTTTTTGCTAAAATTAATAAGGTGAGAGCTATCATTATAGGTTGTAAAAAATTTAGCGATCGACGCATGTAGTCACGTGTAAAATTCAAAAAAATCGCGATAATTACCAGCTTTGCAAATAATAGAACAACAGTAGTAGCTGGGTCGAGTAAAGTTGAAATTAATCAGTTCAATTTAGAAGCGAGAAGCCCAAGTTTGAAGGACTCGACGATTCGGCTATCCGGTACAAATAGCAGCGCAACGCTATTAATAATCTACATTCTGTAATGAAAGATCATTTACTCGATATTCTAAAAGCTTTTGAATATTAGGCTAACAGGGAGTACAAAACTGCGTGATTTGAAAAATCGATCAATGAAGTTATTCTATAGTTTCATATTTGATAGCAAGCAAGGCCTTCGACATATTTGTGTGTGTTCTTCGCTCCCATAAAGACAGAACTTGAAGATGATTTATTTCAAATCATGCGGACAGCGATTAATTGAAATTATGCTGAAAGAACTGTCACTTGAGAAAACACTAATTATCAAAACATTTTTCGGGAAGGTAATCGAGCTGCTGATAAATAAAATTGGTAGTCATGTCATGGAGGCTGTCTACAAGAGGCAACCTCCGATCAAAAAGCGCTATTTATTTCTGAGTTTTATGAATCTGAATTCAGAGTAAGCAACAATTCGATATTAATTGAATTCATTAAAACCACACCACAATAAAATGTAATGCTGTCGCGATACAATAAGTATCTTTGCATTCATACGTCGCAGAATTAGTCAATCTAATGATTTGGACTTTGCTGTGAAATTATGCCTAATGTTGCTAGTTCTCGTGTTTTGGCGTCTCTTGAGGATCAAGAAAGTTAAGTCGCAAGTTAAGATTGTATTGAGGTGATAAGACGCGTTGTAACTCAACCTTTTGGTTGGGCCAATTGAATATTAAAATATATCAATCAATGATGCATTCGTGAATATATATATATATACATATGTGTGTGTGTTATACGTGTTTTTTTGCTGGTAAGAAACCAGTTAGATTTTTATTTTAATATCTAAAAATTAAACCAGGTTTGTCTCCATAGCTTAGCCTAATATTCAAAAAACTTTTAGAATATCAAATATAACTTCATTGATCGATTACATTTTCCTTGTCCATTTCGTGAATTTTAATTCCTAACACACATCGTACATATTGCTGTTGCATCCAAGGCTGGCACTTATTCTTTCAGTCACAGGAGCATTTACCTCACATAATATTCGTGCGTGAGGGTTTCCACATAAATCATGACATAGGAAATCGTATACAAAACAGATCATTGTCCATTGCCGTTCCGATATATTATTTAAGATAAGTGATACTTGGATAAATAGTGACATCCGGTACAATATGCTTTCTATATCCTCTTGGTGAGAAATGGTGTTGTATGATATGGTTGAGCTAGTTAATATTGTATGGTTACAAAAGCGTTATTTAGTATGGATAAGGGTTACGTTATTGGCTCAGGATAGACTATAGTATAAATTCTGTACCATACATGTGATTTTCCGACCATATCATACTTCTTTGCTCGATCATACAATACTTATTAACGTAGGACTCGTGAGAATATTAGAAAAACCAAAGATCAAGCAAACTAGAAGAAATTCTCTTACGTGCTTGATCACAAACGACTATGGAAGGATTAATAAATACACTACGATTGGCTGCTTTGAAATAATCTTGCAAAAGCGAAACAACTGCTCTGTAGCCATGTCGACTATGAATAAGTCAGTTATTCTCCGACTGAGCAATCTGAAAAGGTAAACAGCTCCCATATGCTTTCATCGCTAAAATCGTGATGATAGTTTTCTTCTATAGAAGTGCTGTTTAATTAATAAAGCATCTCCAGTATATATGGTGTGTTTTTCTAAAGATGTTCTTCCAAATTCATTTTCATTCCAGACAAATGTGTCATTGTAATCTTTCATGAAGTTATTGAATTGATCTTTTTGTTGTTCATCTAGTTCTCCACTATGAAACTTGCCTTTGTCTTTAGTTTCTTTGAATTGATAAAAGAATTCTTTCTTAACTGATGTTGGAATTTGGTCATGGTTAGTTTGTCAGTTTTCTTTTTTAATTGTTGACATTTATTGTCGATTGTTCGTTAGATTCGGAAATTAGTTCAATCAGATCTTTATCATTAATAACAATCGATGGCGTAATATTTATATAATATTTAGTAAAGTCCTTCGGTTCATCCATAAGATTTTTATTAATCGCCCACGCGATTACCGAAGAAAGAAAAAATCGGTGTTTGCTTAGAGGGCATACATTTTCTATTAAGACTTTCACTCCTAGTTATTAAAGAAACAACGATTCAGTTAATAAGAATTAGAAATTCAAATACGATCATAATTATTGCTGCCAAGGTTATACCAATAACTATTGGAGAGAAGATGCTGAACGCGTTATTAAACACCTTATCTGCTATTGCTGTTATTATTAAAATGCAAAGATGTGTTCCAATTTGAATTAAGATATAAGCTTGATCATGTTTATCACGACTTCAAATATTGATGGTTGAAATTGGGCTGATTACAACGAAAAGGAAATTGAAATTTGAAAAAGGTGAATAAGCGACGAAAGATCTATAATATATATATATAATTTCAAAGGATACCAGCAAGCCATAAAATCAATCACCTCAGGGACAAAGCCATTAGCTGAGCAAATAAAGGGCTGTTGGTTTTCTAATATTGGTTATCTCATCGTTGAGCCACGCGAAAAATTAAACGCAGATCATTTTATTAATAAAAAGCCTCAACCAATGAAATCCATGGGCTCAAAATTTTGACAAAAAAACTTTTTACATTTTTTTATATACAAATTGATTACTATTCGTAAGAAACATTATACCATTTTAACATTGATTCTAAATAAGATATTCTATATATACACCTACCATCACAATATGAAATTGAAGCTTCTTTTACTGGATCCAAATTAAGAAGTTCAAGATTGGAAGGATATTGTACTGTCGTATTTTCTTCTGACGAAATTCCATATACCAAATCTTCAGTCGAATAATGCGCAGGAATGGTTTGTGGATGTCCATTGAAAGACGCACCCTGGTGGAAATCCAGCGAGGTAGTAGATACTTGGGGCTGAGAAAAGTCCAAATTGCTTTGAGAATAGTCATTTACTAGTATCTGAGATAGTTCGGCTAGTTGTCTGTAATGATCTCTGACTTGCGATGGTTCTTCTCTCCAAAATTTAGAAGCGATCTTTGATAGTTTTGGCATATCACATCTTTCTTTTCTTTTTTGCTTTTCATTCTGCTTTACCATGGCTCTACGGTAAATGAAAAAAGGATTCATAGGTTTTGCCTTTGGATGACGTCTTTTAACTAGATCATATAGAGAGATAGGAAGGGGATAGGCTGGCTTCAGATGTTCATATTGAGAAAAGTCATCAACTGAGGTACTGCCAACGATCGTATTATCAGAATTAATGTCTGCCATGATTTTTTTTGAAAGGCAGATGGCGTATTTATAAGGTTTTGAACTAAACTTTTTTTGTTTAAAAATAAAAATATCTACAGACATCATGTTCTAAACTTGATAGTTTCGCCCTCTCTATAATCACACCTACGTTTTAAGCATCGAATACATCTCATTCTCGTAATAGTAAACTCTGAAGTTATGTATATTCGGAGTGTAAGTATGTCGTAATGGTGTTACAATAACGTGACTCGAACAATGGATGCAATAGTATTTAGATGCATTCTAAATACATTCAATGGTGAGTAGTGCCTTGATGGTGAACGCCTTGATGGTGAACGCCTTGTTGGTGAACGCCTTGTTGGTGACTATATAATTGTAACACCACCGTGAATGCCATTTAAAATTTACCAAATCTGGTAAACATCTCATTAAAAAGTCGTCGATTTTTTTCGACATTATTACTGTTTACTCGATATGTATAATTAGCATTCATTAATGTTTTCAAAGAGAACTTTATTTTTTGATAATGATTTTCCATGACGTAGATTTTTTTGTATTAAAGAGATTCAATCGATTAATCCCCAAATTTTGCAATAAAATCAATCGATCAAATAAATCATTAATTCCCAACTCATCAAACTAATATACAGACACCCAATAAATTTCTTTCACGTCCCCCGCACCGCAAGAAAGAAATACAATCACACACACCCCAACCAACCAATCCTTCACTTTGGCTTTTTTCTAGCACCATTCTTTTTTTTCGAATGCTCATTCTTCGGCAGCTCACTATTCGGCATAAACACTGCGCCATCCTGCCAAAGACGCTTCGCGATCACCGCCATATTTCGCGTATCGGCAATCCCGGAGTGCTGGTGTCCGTCAAATTGCAGGCCATAGTGAGCTAGCATGGCTGTGATGTTGCATCTTTCGCGGTTGTATGTCTCGGCAAAGAGTTTTCGTATGTCAACCCACGGAAGTGTGAAGTAGGACGGTCGTGAGATTTGTGAGACGTTGCATTGTTTACGGATGAAATCTCGAATGTCCCATGGGCCTATACGAAAAATATAAAATTTCATGTATAAATAATCCAATTGTTGACAGTGATTTTAATAATTAAAATCCTAATTTCTTACTTACCGTCAGTTACAAATGCACAAGTACTTCCATAGAAGAGCTAAAGGAGATTAATTGGTATATTTATAAATTTATGAAAAGCGAAATTTGATAACAAAAATGCATACCTGATAACGATGCAGGAATAGCTGAAAATCACTCAACATCTCTGGAAACGACGGACTTGCATCAATGGTAGACTAATAATTAGAAAAAGAAACAGCGAGAATCAAAAAGAAAATCAATTAGAATTCTCAGCCCAACCTACACTCTATACATAAACTGGAAAATATAATATACTTTTTTGGGGTTAAAAATATTAATTAACCTGTGGTATTCCGGTTAGCTTTTTGCAAAATTCTGTCAGCGTAGAATTCACACTTGGTTTCACGTACGAGTGAAAGACATCAACCTAATAGAGAAACGTTGATAACAACAAAAATAACCGATATTAGGGAGTATAAATAAACGAGAGCAAAAATTTGGTTACTTTTGATTCAACCACCACCACTATATAAACTTACGACTTCAAAGTTCTTACTGTCTATTAAGAGAACCGGGAACTCTATTATCTCGTGGAAGTAATTGAAGGTGCCGCCTTCTTCACAAGTAGCTTCAACATCAAAACATAAGTAATGTTCGAATGGTTGAGGCTTAGGATTTCTTTGGAAAGGAAACAAAGTTGTTATTATCTCGCAAATAAATTCTCTAAAACTTGTGCCGATATTTTTTGTCATGGAAAACCCACGATTTCGAGGATATATAGAATTCAATAGGCTTTTCGTCTTCTTCAAATTCTTGATCAGGATGAATTAGGTCTGCTGGTGGTGGTGATAGTGACGGGGCAGTTTGTGTAAATGTTTCATTCGAGTTTTTATCTTTTGTTACGTATTTGTCATTTGGAAACTGCGAGGAACCTTTATTGTTGTTGCCATTATTGGTAGTGGTTGAAAATTCATTGATCGGATTCAAGTAACGCTTCAATCGTTTAGTCAGTTCTTTTTTACGTCCATGAGGATCTAGCCCCAAGGTAGAGAGTTGTGCACGCAAAGCTTCCACTGATACTTTATTTGTGTTACGAATGGTTTGCATATTTTTTCTAGTCAACGTAAGAAGAAAGTAAAAAAAGACAGTTGCCTGCTTTTTAGGAAAGTGAGTCATACATAAACACATTAATTTATCAGGTAAACATCGATGAAAATCACCATAAATATATATATTATTACATATCGATATAACCAACTTATTTCCATTATTATTCATATTCATCAGCTGTAACCTCACATATATGATGTATACTTCTAAACGGCACAATCAAATCCAGATGCAGCTGCATAACTGCTGCCCAGTATTCGTTCTTACTCATATTCTGTAGGAAATAATATAGGTCAAGTACGAAAAATATCGAGAGAATCGACGAGATGACAAGTGCCGACATCGCTTCGCTCATTGGGAATTTTAGGGGGATTAGCAGTGCGGTGACAATTGTGAGAATTACGAATGTGTATACACTGGTTTCATCGTTGGATGTGAGAGCGAACGAACGATCGTGTCGATTTAAGGTTGTGTTTGTTAGTGACATGATCATTATGATAATAAGAATAATAATAATAATAATATGATGAGGATTAAAGAGGAATAAAAACTTACACTGTTTGTCTACTCTTAAAGCTATATCTTGATTGATATGTGTAGGCAATAAGCGCCAGAAACACAAATAATATTATTACCAATGCGCAGAGTACACTCTCTAACTTAAGAACGGTGACTAGACAAAAAGAAATAAATTTTTAATCTTTTTATTAATTCTTTCCCGTATTCCGTGATACTCACCAACACCGCCAATCAAAAACCCATGCAAAAATGTAAATAAAATCACCAAAAGCGGCGGCGGTTGATATTGATCATTCGCTTTATATGTCAACGCCACCAACAATATGAAAGTTAGCACTAAGGATATGTACCAAAGCCATGGACTACGCATGTGGTTTAAATATGAGAATTAATCGCAATATTTCTCAGGAAAGTCGTTCAAATATTAGCCGAAAAAAATACTCACTGTCTTAGAATAAAATCTCGTCCATTGTCGGTGTAATACAATAACGACGTTATGGCGAGAAAAACGAAGACTTGCGTGCTTAATATGATGTAAACCTTACGCAGAAACTCTAAAAATCAATAACATTTAGTAAAGAACGTGTAACGCAAATTTTCAAAAGGAATGACTCATTTGAAAAACTTTATAAGCCAAAAAAATGAGTGTATGCATCTGAATCCATGAAATATAAGACGAAATATCTTACCCATTTGAGTTTTAATTCCACCCAAGGAAACCGGAACACCGAACGGGTAGTCAGTGTCATCAATGACATTTGTAGGGACACCAGCGTAATTTGTATTATTGTTGTTGTTTGACTGTATAGCTTGTGGATCAAATGTTTGATATGACATTTTTGTTTTCGTTATTGCGAGGAGTTCAAACGGGAAACCAGAAATATATAAATGTGTGGCAATGATTGATCGGCAATCAAAATATAGAAATTAGTGTTTTTCTATATTACTAAATCGGAAAAATGCCTTTCGGACAGGTAATATTTCTCTGAATCTCGTATGTCATATAAGAATACCTTTTAAATTATCTTTTTATAGGTTGTAATAGGACCTCCAGGGTCGGGAAAAACTACTTACTGTAATGGAATTCAACAATTCTTAAACGCTACCGGAAGGTAATTAAACAAATTACCCTCTGATCTAACACTCTAATTTCTAACTTACTTCTGGTACATAAAGAAAAGTATCAGTCATAAATCTAGATCCAGCAAATGACTTTCTTCCATACAACTGTGCGGTCAACATTGCCGAATTGATTACGTTGGAAGAAGCGATGAAAGAACTCGAGCTCGGTCCAAACGGGGCAATGGTGTATTGCATGGAATTTTTGGAAAAGAATTTTGATTGGTTGGAGGAGAAATTGAAGAGTTTAAGAGGTTTGTTGTTTTTTAATTGATTCTGACAAAAATGTTGATGTTAGTTAACCTTGCCTGCTTTATTCTATAGATGACTATTTATTGTTTGATTTCCCTGGTCAAGTGGAATTATTTACTCATTACGATTCAGTAAAAAACATAATCGAACGATTAACAAAAACGAATTTTCGGGTATTTTTTTCTCTCGAGTTTTAATTTAATTGGCTCTGTTTGCTTCTTTTTTTATTCTAATTAATTTGGTTTGAGCAGCTTGTTACCGTTCATCTTGTGGACGCTCATCACTGCACTGACCCAGCGAAATATATATCAGTATTACTTTTGTCGCTAAAGACTATGCTGCAAATAGAAATACCGCATATAAATGTACTCTCGAAGATAGATCTAATGGAATCTTACGGAAAACTAGGTAATTCATAAATTCTCGTTTTGTTCACTTGATCTTTAGTAAAAAATCTTGATAATTATCATTAAATTTTACATTAATCATCAATAATAGCCTACAATCTGGAATTTTACACTGAAGTACAAGATTTATCCTATCTCTTGGATCATCTAGACGAAGATCCATTCACAAAACGATACAAAGACTTGAACAAAGCTTTATGCGAGCTCATTGAAGATTTTGGTCTTGTCGGCTTCCAAACACTGTGTATACAGGTAAATTCATATGCTATGATGATTGATTGATTCACTCATCATTGCATTCTTATTTATTGTCACTTTCGGTGTTGACAGGATAAAAAATCCGTATGGAATCTAATTCAAGCTATCGATAAAGCGAACGGATACGTATTCGGAGGCTTGACACAAGGAAATGAAAGTATCATGCAGGCGGCAATGCGAGCCGAGCTTTTTTATAATGTATCTGACGTGCAGGAGAGATGGCTGGATCATAGAGATGTTTGGGATTCATGGGAAACGACACACCAACAAGAAACTTCAGGTGTTCCGCCAATAAATAAGACTCCTTTATAATAGACAAAGTTGATAATTATTTTGTATGTTATTTAGTTTGGTAGTTGACTTCTTGCTTTGCTCATTCACTGATATATATAAAAAGCCGACTGACGAGTCTCTTGAGCAAGGACGAAACATAGTGGAAGAACAATTTTTGGTCAGTGCAATTATGTGTTAACAATGTATTAGATTCGATTATGATGATTATTCTAAAATTGCTTATATTGTACAAAAATTTTATGATTATTAGAGGTGTGACAAATATTAGCCGTGAAATAACCTTAACTTCATCATTGGTAAATGACCTAATGGCGGACGCGATGAAAGATTTTTGAAACCGTTTTCAGCGACGCCAGGAAGTTTCTCTCTAACTTCTTCGTTTGCAGGGTTTGGATCGTACGAAGATGATGGGGCTTTAACGCGTTGTCGATCAGCGTCGAAGGAAACGTTGACCTTCCAAAATATGAATCGATATGATAGAATGCGTTCCGTCTTTCTTGATAGTCTTGTTTTTTAAAATTTTGCCACCCTGTACAGGGAAAGCATTATCAAGGGTTGTCCGTTTGTCAAAGGAAACGTTGACCTTTCGATATGATAGAATGCGCTTCATCTTTCTTTCTTGGCAAAATCTTAAAAAAAACAAGGAGGCTATCAAAATACCGAATAAAGCTAATCAGGCCTTCGGTGCATGCAGTATCGGTATTTAGTCCTGGATTCTCACAGAGACGCTGAAGATGGAAAAGATATTTTGGAGTAACACGTTGAATTATGATATATCCTAAATATTGGAATGTGATGACAGAGGGTAATGTGGGCAGAGTCGATAAAAAAGTGTAATGGTAAACACAGTTCTGTAATTTGATGCATAAACCATCCAGGGTCATTCAAACCTAGGAGGTTTTGTATGGGATATATTATCAGGGGGTCTCTTGTATATAAACCATGATATATCATTGACTACCTCTCACCCGACGAGAAAACATGTACACTGATTACATTGATTAATAAGGAACATTTCTCTAACGAAGTAAAAATAAAAAATCTATTATTTCTACTCTAATATATTTAATGTCTATCAACTAAAATAATAATAAAATGGAGTGTCGATGCTTGGTCAATTTACAATGCTGTGATCACAATAGTCACGAAGGTCAACGAGAGCTATTTATTTTCTTTCTGCCGTGAATAAGCACCGCTTTTTGGGCTCTAAAAAACGGGTGGTGCTTATTTCTGGACATTTCAAAATTATCGCCCTTTTCGTTATGGACATCTTCCCCATCGTGATTTAGTGTGGCTTATACTTGTTTTTTGTAAAGATATAGCGTTAATCTTTGTTTTCTGGCAATCGGAGTTTGTCATTATACCTAAAATTTCACGCTGAGCATTTTTACTTAAAAGCTAAAAGGTGGTTGTCATAGTAAAATTCTAAGTTATTTGCAATTTTTCTGTTTTCCATCGCTTGTTTTGAATTTTCATGTTACATATGATCTTTTGATTTTATTGGATAAATATTACGTAGTCGGTCATTTTTTATTGGTTATGGCTGGAAAAAGCCATTTTATTGGATAAATATCACGTGTTCGAACTTTTTTGCTGGGGATGATTTTATGGACAGATTCGTCATGTGATTCCTATCTGATACCGACTCCGGCACAAATCTGATTTTAGTATGTGACTGCTTTACGGACAGATTTGTAGTCATGGTTAGTCTTTTCATATTGAGAAACAGTAAATTCGAGAATTGGAGCAAATAAAAGTGATTTTTTGTCTTATTTATATTTTTTTACGTCGATCTCAGTGATAATACATCAACGTTATGACTATTCCGTTACTTCATAGTACTTGGGATACCTGTGAATGCTTTATAATCAGAAAGCTCTTGTAATAAAATGAATAAATGCTATATAAATATGTTATATTTCAAGGCTTTGCTATGATCGGGTAAAGTTCAGTCACATGATAAAAATTAGATCCGTCCGTAGATTCCGGGATCGGTATCAGATCGTAATCACATGACGAATCTGTCCATAAATCTGTTCCCGTCCGATAAAGCCGTGTATTCACGTGATTATTAGCCAATCCAATTGACAAGGTCAACAATCCAATTGCAAAATACACAAAATTTTATCAAAGCATCAATTGTTCTGTTATTTATAATAATCTTTTTTATATATTAATATAGTAATTATAATAATATAATAAAAGTAATTATAATAATTATAATAATAATTATAGTAATTATGATAATTATAATAAGAATTATAACAAATATTAAATAATATCTTTGGAAAAAAAGAAAATATTAACAATATCTTATATTTTATATAATTTTAATTTATCAATTCGATTAATTTAATTTTAATTCATTAATTTGATTAATTTGTTTATTACAATTAATTTGGTTTTAATTTATCAATTCAGTTAATTTGTCAATTTGGTTAATTTAGTTTTAATTTATCAATTTGATTAATTTAATTTTAATTTATAATTTAATTTTAATTTATTATTACAATTCTACTTAAAAATAATTACTAAAATTATTTTTAAAAACTGAAATATTTCAATTTCAAAATCAAATTGATAAATTAAAACTAAATTAACTAAATTAATAAATTAAAACCAAATTAATTGTTAATCAGTTTCAAATAATTCAAATAATTTTATAAAAAAATTATTAATTTAGAAATAAGTTTTTTACAAGTTACTAATTTAACTTGCTTATAATAATAATTAAATATAAATTATTTATTAAGAATTTTTTAAAATATAAAATTTGAAATTTAAAATAAATTTGAAATTATTTTAAAATTAAAATAGTTTTAAAAAGATTAATAAGTATAAAAATAATTTTTATTTTTATTTTACAAATTATTAATAAAACTTATTTATATTTTAAAAATTATTTATTATAGTTAAATAATTTGACTTTAAAATTAATAATTTTTAAAATTATTTAAAATTGATTAATAATTTTAATTGCTAGCAATTTATATATTAATAATTTATATTATTAATAACAAAGTTATTAATAATTTATATTACTAATAACTTTGTTACTAACAATTTGCTAATTATATTTATATTTTATTAATTTAAAAATATTTTTTTTGAAACCTAGCAAAAATCTTTAATTATTCTATGCTTATACAAATTGCTTTCTTGAATTAAAAAGTATTTTTTTATTTAATATATGTAGTTTTAATATATTAAAATATTTTGTTGCTTGATATTTTTTTACTTGTATATAAAAATCACGTAATTATTTGAACACATAATTAGATTTCTAAGATTATGTGATCAGAAAAATATTTTCTATATTCTGGTTTTTTTAACATTACTATATTATTTGCAAAATTGATTTGAACTAGTTTAAAATTATTCAAAATTGTTCAAAATTCAAGATTATTTGGAATCCAAAAATATGAATTTTTGTGTTACATATTGATCTTGTGATTTAATTGGCTATCATCACTGATATCATCAACAAAATTTTTTAGAAAAAAAGTGTTAGATCATGTGATATTTGTATATGTTCGAAGAAATTCTACGATAATAAAAATTATTGTTAAAGATTATTGTTAGTTAGATTAATTTAAAGATTAGGATTAGGGTTAGGGTTAGAGCTGGAGTCAAGATTATATGTAAAATTGTCTTCCTGACATTTTTTTAGTGTATCAAGCTAGATTTAGGCATCTGTTTCCCGTATTTTTTACATTTTTTGCTTTTTTATTTTCTTGTGTCGAATTTGTTTTGCCGGGCTGATAAAAAATTTACGTATTTTGATTGGTTTGTGCCGCCAGCAGCACGTGATCTGACACTTTTTTTCGCCGTGGCTAGGGTATTTCAAATTTTTTAATTGTCTCGACAAGAGGAAACCGGCGAGTTACTTATTATTGCGACTGTTTTGGTCAAGTTTCTATGGGCATGAAAGAAACTACGATATTACTAAACTGAAATGCTATAATTTGGATTAAACGCTTTCACTATCGTCATGCTCAAAAATTTGAATCGGGGGTAAGGTCCTCGTATTCAGATTACAAAAGCAGCTACGCCTTTAGTTGGAGGGCTTAGCTGTCGGGAGACTCTGCTCGCAGCAATGCAGCACTATCGAACCGTCGCTTAACCCAACACCATATTAATATCGTACAGACCTTTTAGATTATATGAATTTTGTGAATGTAGAGTTTCTCTATCTCAATTCGTACCGTCCTGGTACCATTGGAGTAACATAAAACTAATATAATTTGAATGTATCTTGTAACACGTACAAAAGATGGGAAACGTTTTCCCTAGCTGATAGCCCCTGATCAATGGAATGCAAAGTTTTGTTAACCAAGAGAACTTGCAATCATAAATGAAACGTTGAGGTTGTAATCGACTATTCTCATAGGTATAAATCCATAAAATACTAATCGGTTTCAGTATCATCGTACCAGCTCGGCTGGCGGGTATAATGGTTTCCTTTGGGTCTAAAAATTTTTGATTGTGCGCTAATCTTGAGTTATATTACCTATTTCATTTGGCATTGTTAATTCAGAGCCAACTAAGATTATAAATCGCCAACTATCAATCTACATGGAAAAAGGTTTGTTTGGTATGATTGTACGGGTGGATAAGTAAATTGCTAGTCACTGTATGACTACCCCTTAATTGAGTGATTTGTCTTTGGATAGCAGATAGGTGACAACTATTGTGTTCATAGATTTTGGCCACTAAAGAAGCACAGCTCTTGAGCAGGGGTCGATAACTCCCTTGTTTCTCCAAGATCGCATCGCTTTGGTGAGCATATCATGTGATCCAGTCGTCAAACCACTGGGAACTTTCGAAAGGCCTGGGGTACACTCTACAGGAGGCAACACTGTCAAATTGCACGAAACTCTCTTGAGAAATAGTACCGCGACAAGGGGGGAGCCTGTTGTGCAGCAGCAGGTGTAATGGCCTGTGGATGGTTATAACCTATTTCTGACACTTTACATAAATTGAGCGGTGGGGGACTCGATCTGGCGTTTCGCGGATTAAAAGCTATACCCTTGTAAAGTGATGCGTGAAAACGTGAGAAGACAACGCGCAGCCAAGCCCGTAGTGGGAGACTCTTTGAGTTCACCGGGTGTAGTTCATCGACTAGACGTCAGTGGGTGAGCGTGATGTGACAACTTATACTTCGAGTTTAAGCTCTGGTATCATGATTGCTTAAAAGATAGCAGTAATGCTGGTTCCCTTAGTACATGTTTAGTGGCCGGCATCGAAGCTTCCCCGATAGAACCTAACTCGAGAGATCAATACGACCGACTGTTCATCGAAGTGGGGATTATAACTCTCACGATCCTTTGATCTGCCGTCGATGATGGTAGCTCGTCTCACCTGGCTTAGGCCAATTTCGGGTGCGTCTCGTTAGTTCAGGCATGCCATACGCATAATTGAGATGGAGGTTAATGAGTTGTTACTAAGTATTGATGCTCAGAAGGGATGCTAATTGAAAGGAAGTGGAGTTGGCTGGGATTCTAAAGCAGATGTCGGAAGGGCGAAACCCTGCTTGTAGTCGTGGAATGAAATGGTGGAGGAAAACTGTCACTGAAAGTCGATAGATAGGCTTGAAATTACAACCCAATCCGAAATTTGAAACTGGAACTAATTTTCTCTTCTTGTTTGAAAGTGTCCTTCGATGGTCAAAAGGTTTTGTTTGAGGACCGAACTTGAAAGCTGCACATAAGAGTTGGAAATGAGACGCCGTGTAGTGGAAGAGGGGATATACCGATCATGAAATTATAATGCCATGCTTTGGATAGCACTAATATTTAAGATTTGGAATGATGCTAACTTTTTCTTAGATTAGGAAACGCTAAGTGATTTCTTTCATTAAGGATCGATTGGATAAGTCGAGACGTTGGTCACTTAAAGATCCTTCACTTGTCTTGTTATAACTAATCATATCTTAAGAAAAGGGCAAACTCGGATGGCTTATGATCCTAGTTGTATACACATCTCTACAATATATTATCGGGATTACAAAAATGAATTTGTTGTTTTGGAACCCGATATCTCGACATCCGGTGATCCCATTCGAACAAAGATATCACCATTAGATTCGCCTCGACTATACGAATCTAATGGTGATATCTTTGTTCGGATGAGACCACCGGATGTCGAGATATCGGGTTCCAAAATAATTCATTTTTGAAATTCCCGGTAATATATTGTAGGGGTGTGTGTATACAACTAGAATTCCGAGGTTTGGTTCGAAATCGAACCGCTGCCGACCCCTGACGAGACCAATCAAATCAACAAACGATTGCTTGTATCGCCTGCTTAGTGCTACAAGCCGACTGAGCTTTTTGCGGCTGAGCCTTTAAGCAGCCGCCATGAGACAGTATCTCCCATTTTACTGATAAGCAATATGTGATCTAATTTTTATGGATCTATTGTGTTTAATAGCAAGATAACCCTCCAATTAGTAACAAATTTTCATATATTGCTCTCGTCATTCTGTATCGGGGGATCGGTTAAAGCGTAGTTCATCCGATAATCTGTTCGAAAAACAAACCAATAAGGATGCGTAAATTTTTAATCAACCCGGAAAAACAAATTAGAAGCAAAGACAAAAAATGAAAAAATACTGAAAACAGGTGCTTAAATTTTTCTTGGAGCACTAATTAAAAATGTCGGGAAAGCAATCTTAAATATAACCTTGATCTCCTTCCCAACCCTAACCCTAACGTTGAAATTACCTTTTAATATTTTAAGATATATCACGTGATGGACTACGCTTTAATCGTTCTCTGTATCGGGGTAGTACCCTAGCCCAGTGTTGTCGCTTGGACGTGAATCCAGCAATTTGATTGGTTGGAACAAGATTCTAACCAATCAAATTGCCATGGCGAAAAAAATGTACGGTGCACGTGATAATGAACCAATCCAACCAATAAAAATGCACAAAAATTCTGCGCAACCAATAGGAATGTAGCAAATTTTTGATCAACCCGACAAAAGAAATCCGATATAAAAAAATGAGAAAGAACAAAAAATGCGAAAAATACAAAAAACAGATGTCTAAATCTAGCTTGGCGCACTATCAAAAAATGTCGAGAAGACAATTTTATATATAATTCTGATCTCAGCTCTAACCCTAACCCTAATACTTGATATCTAATATTAATCGGATATTTTAATGAACTTATTTCAGATCACGTGCACCGTACATTCTTTTCGCCTGGCTAGGATACTAGTATCGGGGGGAGGGGACTATTCAAGGGGGTTTTTTTATAAGTATCCCGGGTGCGCTGTACGGTAGGAAGTGTAGTATTCATAATGAGCTGGTCAATCAGGCAGATCATGCAAAATATTCATCAGACCAATCATGTAAATTGACTTCGAAATCGTATTTTGGCAATGAACCAGGGGGAGGGAGGGGTAATAATAATATGATATTTTGTATAATTGTCCTTTTTTGGAAAATTAATATCAACTGAGCCGGCTCAGTTCTCGAGAAGATAGCAACTCGGCTAGCCAGAAAATTTTTAGTGGCTTATAGCACTAGCGTTACCTCTAAGACATGCCACAAAAAAGGGGATACGATAAAGCGTTGTACCTTCAGGCAATCCATCCAATGAGGATACGCAAATTTTGTTGATCACCAATAAGAATGCACAAATTTTGATCAACCCGGGACGCGTTCTTCCGTGGCCGTCATACAGCCCTGGTCATTTCTTAAACGGAATGTTGAAAAAAAGGTAAAAAAAATTGTCGCACAAAAAAAAATCGGTGTCACAGGAGGCTTTTATCGCGTTAGTGGAGAATGAGTGGATAAATCTTCCCGAGGAGCTGATCTTTAGCTGTATCGCAGTATGCCGGACCGCGTTCAAGCCTGTATTGACAAGGAAGGAGGAAATACTCGATATTAATATTTTATGTGGGCATGTTGCCTTACTTGATGCTAGAATTATTATCTTCAGAGAGCTAAGATAGAAAATGCTTGCTCAGATACTATCATGCTTGCATATACCGAAGTTGTCCGCCATTTGGAACAGTTGGATTTGGCATCAATTAGACCAGAAGTCCCTCTAGCATCCGGCGTTATTGATCTTTCGGGTAGTGAAGATCCATTTACAAATTTATTATCAATGAGGACAAAGCAGATTTTGACGCAACATACATTCCATAACGATGAGTTTCCGGAGCAGATAAATATGATGATGGATGATTTCGTAAGCACATATAGAGATCTGGGACCCGATTTCGATCCAGTATTCATGAGGCCAATTGCTCTCCCACAAGAGAAGATGACCATTGAATCCAGACGTATAGTGATGATGGTTTTTGACTTATTAGAAGGATTGTAAGTTATTAGTGTGTAATTCTATTCATGCTTACTTTATTAAGAGTATTTCTTTTCCAGGCGTCACATTTGGAGTTGTAGACCGTTGTTGGCAGAAGATGAATATAGCGAGAATGCTTATGTAATTCATGCTGTATCGAAGGTTTTGGACCCAATCCTCACATATTCAAAATGGCCACTTAAGCGTGCATGGTGATGTATCTACATAACTATATATGATGTATTAACCATTCTAACTATATATATTTCAACACATATAGGTCTGAGCAGACCAGTAAATCATCACAACCTAGGATGGAGCGGATGGAAGCTACGAATTCGGGAAAGAAGCCAGATCTGCAGGTTTTGCTAAAGCTTGATATGGTGGAAAGTGAACTCGTACTTGCTGAAGTTTCACGATTACTCCCTCAACAAGACAAAGAAATTATAGACTGGAAGAAATTGGTACGCATTTGCAAAGATTGTTTTGATGAACGATATAATTTTTTCTTTGATGGGAGGGACGATACCACCGATACGGCTAATCATTAAATATCGAGCTAGGGAAAGTTCCTGTTTTAGGTATCCAAGTAATACGAGATCGTGTAACTGTTTCTGCGTTTGACTTATTTGAAGATGATTTTTCGGATCTGTGAGTTGGTTATACCATTACGTATTTTCTCTCGCCAGATCGTTGAAGAATTTTTAAAGAGTAAAGTAAGTTAAAGCATATGGTTAGAGGGTATTTTAGTGGGTAAGAGATATTTTTTATGGTACAATATATATAAGGTAGGGGCTTGAAGAATAGGGGCAGTCATTGCCTTTCGAGGCAAGTCTAGGGGCTGATTGAACTCTCCCTCGCAAAGCTCTTATTTTTATAAATTATTGATGGGGCGAGATCGCCAGATTATTATTGTCTATTAGCGAGGAGAAGAAGATCCAGACAAGCTTCCCGTGATTTAAACCACTGAGCTGATAGGCGAGAAGTAATCTGCTTGTATATCCACCTCAGACTTTATATACATGTTTATATGAATTATAATCAAGTAAAGTCTAATTATTTTTTTATAAAGCATAGGACGCAGATAGACTCGTAAATCTACGAAAGAAGAGACTCGTAATTATATTCGATTGCAATGGACTTCAACGCAGAGGACCTTAAATCGACTAATATATCGCAACTCGTTACATTAATCAGTCCAAAGTCCACGTTTGTCGAGAAATTCGTAGAAAAAAGATACCAAAGGTGGACCATTAAAAAGCAAATCCCCGACGGTAGTGGTAACTCTTTGGCCTTTAGCCGGTTCACGCCGATACCACCACGATACTTAGAATTATTAGAGTCCGAGATTTTTTGCGAAACAGATCCTTTAGATTTAACAACTCCAGAATTATGGGAAAAGTTTGGAGAGTGGGCGGGTTTCGAGAAGGTGCCTAATTTTAGAAAGAAATTTCGACATCACTGCCGTCGCTTATGGACAAAAACGAAGCACGCATATAAACTACAAGTGGAGACTCAAAAAAAAACTTTAGAACTTTATGATATTCAGGAAGTGTTCCTACGACACCCAGATGACAAACTTGTTATTGCAGATGAAACGACGAAGAAGGTTGCGGGTGGTGTTAATCTCGATGGCTACAAATACATTTATCAACCTCGGTGTTTTAAAAATGCTGTTGGTGAAACAATGATTGATTTCTTTGACCTCAACACCCCCTTAGTCACGAAAACTGCACAAGTGGTAGTAGATCAATACTATAACCACACTCTTAACAACCCTTCACATCGGTCCGACCAATTTACTAAGAACCTGATAGGGCATTTCGGCTGTTTTACTGACAGCAATAACGAACCATATATCACTGCGAGCACCGCTTCTAAGAGCATCAGAAATGCGTCCGAGATCTGATTCGAGGACTTCAACCGCTCTCTGATACGGTTAATAATTATCTTGAAGCCACCTACCCAGCATTATATATTAAAATGAAAAAACTCGATCTTGGTTCCAATGTTCCTAAATCATCTGGAGCTTTCCCAACCACTGGTATCAATTTTAATTCTATCTGCCAGTTCCATCGGGACCTGAAAGATCATCGCAATACGCTTTGTGTTGTCTGCCCTCTTGGAATATTTGAAGGTGGACATCTAGCCTTTCCCGAGTTAAAGTTGGCATTTAGGGTAAAACAAGGACAAGCCATCGCTTTTCGGTCACACCTTTTAATTCACGGAAACCTTCCAATAATAACCGGCTCGAGGCATAGCGTTGTCTTCTATATTCATGACAGTGTTATAAAGCAAAAACGGAAATTTGGCTCTCTTTTCGATGATGGAGATTTAGATGTATCGGAGATTCTACAGTCAGCACGGAAAGTAATGGCGGACGAATTTTTTCAAAAATAAAAAAAATTTAAATAATAAAACAAAAAAAAATTTATTTCCGAAATGTGATTATAGTATTTGACAAAGAACAATTATTATTAAGAATCTAATTGGTTTTTATTAAGATATTTTAATTGGTTCTTTATTATAAATTAGATTTATATCATAATGTAGATTATTTTATTAAGATTTAGCATGAGTTCTATTTTTATATTTTAATTGGTTCTTCTCATGTATTTAATTTTTCTTTGTATTATATTGATATTATCTTGTGCTATATTAAGTTTATTTTGTGTTCAATTAGTTTTATTGTGTAATAGCAAAGGAGTAATAATAGTATTTTAGTATTTTAACATATGTTGGTACTAGATTTAAATGTGCAACACTTGGCAAATTGGAGTAATATTATGTTACTCGTGATATATGAAAATGTATTAGATTTTAATTGATTCTTTTTGAGATAGAAATAGATATATAAGCAGTATGTATTTTAGTTTAGAATCATTATTCAGACAAAAATGTTCTTTAATAAAAATTGGTTGTAATTTATATTATTTTGATCTTTTAATTATGTTATCTTAACAAGAAATTATTATTCATATTTAATTTATTATTCGTATTATTTATTTATTATTTGCATTATTTATTATTTATTATTTGCATTATTATTATTTTAAAGTTTTTGAGAGATGTTAGGAAGATATTATATTATTTTTATTTTTCATGTTGCTGGACTAAAAGAGATAGCATTTATAGTTAAATTATTTTATTTTATATTCGTATTTGTATTTTTATAGCTATCATTGACTGGTATTTTAGGAAAGCTTTGATAGCTATCATATTTATTTTCATTAAGTTTCTTGTTAAAGTTATGTTCAATACCATTATTTTAATATTTGATATTTAAATTATAAGTTTTGATAATTTAGTAGTTTGATCTTTTAATTGAACACAGTTGCTTGTCATATTTCAGAAATATTATCATAGGTAATGACTCTGAAAATGATAATAATATATTTTTTAAAAGAAAATTAATATTAATTACAAAAGATGATATATAGTATAGAGCAAAAGCTTACTTTGTATTTCTCCATGTGATATTATAATGGAGTTTTACTTATTTCAATTAATAAATAATTTGAGTTTAAAACTATATCACATATACTTATGATATATACATATAAATTGATAGATAGCAATTTTTCATAAAGTGTTGAAAAGGTGATATGAGTGATATAATTAATATTGCTGGTGCCATTATTTTCAAGTTGAAATAACTTATTATAATATTTAGTCAATTCTAATAATATATTTTATTTAGAAATTTTCTTGAAATTTTTTTAGTTGTTAATGGAAGGTAAGATATTTATTTCAAAAACATGAAAAATTATTTTCTTAATTATTACTATATTGAAATCACATATATCTTTTATTCTTTTTATAATCTAATTAAGATATAAAAACTATTAATAAAATTTAATAAATTATAATTATTGATAATTATTGTTGAATAATAATAATAATAATAACAAAAACTTTTTTATTTTGTTTTTTTATATGTAAAAAATATTTATTAACAATTAAAATTCAAATAACAAGAATTAAAATACTTAAAATTCAATTTCAATAATTCTAATACAGTGATTTATTTAATATAATATAATATAAAATTTAATAATTTAATAACAATAATTTGCTTAGTGCAATATGATATAAAATTCAAAGTCAATAATAATGATTTATTCAGTGCAATATAATATAAAACTATCAGCAATTTGTTTGATATAATATAATATAAAATTATTTATATATAAGATTTAAAGTATATAAAGAAAATATAAAAGATGAGAGATATTTGGAAGAAAATTTTTGTTAAGAAAGATTTTTATTTTTAGTTACAACATATTGAGTTAAAACTCAGATAGTATCTTTATTTATATATTTTTTGAAAATACAAAAAGTGAATTAAATAGGTAAAAGTAAAATAACTAAAAAGTAAAATAATATATATAAAGTGAAATAATGAAAAATTGAAATAACTAAAAAGTGAAATAATATATATAAAAGTAAAAAATTGAAAAGTGAAATAATGAAAAAGTAAAATAATATATATAAAAGTAAAAAATCAAAAAAATAAAATAACTAAAAAGTAAAATAATATATATAAAAGTAAAAAATTGAAAAAGTAAAATAATAAAAAAGTATAATAATAAAAAAGTAAAATAATGAAAAAGTAAAATAATAAAAAGTAAAATAATATTAAGAAATTTATTATTATATAAATATTTTTAGAATTTTATATTTTTTAATTATTTTTAAAATTTATAATTTTTATATTACTACTATAATATTATATTAAAAATATAAAACTAATTATAATATTATTGTTAATAATATAATATTGAATTTTTTATTATTTTTATTATTTATTAATTTATAATAACTTTATTTTTTTAATAATAAGTTTTTTATAAATAACTAATTAAATTTTATTTATTTCTTTTTAGTTAATTACAAAAAGATTTATATTATATTTTAAAAGTTAAAATTTAATTTAGCTAAATTTTATATTTAATATAACTTTTTATATATAATAAATATATAATTAATTAAAAAAAATTAACAAATTGTAATATTTTTTTTCTTATTTTTAAATTTTTTATTATTATTTTATTCTTGAATTTTTTAATAATTTTTTAGCAAATCTAATTATTTTTCAATAATAATCTATTATATTATTAATTATAGCTCTAACTTTTTTACTAAAATATTTAAAAAATAATTAATTAATATTTATTAATCTTAAATATATTTTATATAATTTATATATAGCTTATAACTATTATAATATTATTATTGAATTAATATTCAAATTAATATTTATATTGTTAAATATTAATATTATAAAAATAAATTATTCATATTTCTTTTACTCTATTTTAATTAATTATATTTAAATTATTAATAATATTTAAAGTAATATATAATATTTTTTTAAATTTTTATAATTTAAATATAATTAATTAATATATATAACTCTTAATATATATAATGAGAATTAAATATATTATAAATTATATATAGAAGAAAAAATATAATCATGCTCAATATGTATGATCAAATTTTGATATTAGTTTATTTATTAATATAATATAAAAACAAATCTTAAAAAAGCTTAATATTAATTAGTTTTCTTCTTTTTTTGATATAAAATAAAAAAAATCTTATTTAAAAATTAATAAATAATTAAGTTAACTTTGAAATATAATATTTATAATACTTTAGCTTTAGTAAAATTAAGTGATAACTTTTTTTTAGAATATATAAGTATATTATTTAATTAAAAAAATAATAAACTCAAATTTATTTCTCATTCTGAATATTATATAATTTTAATTTATTAAGATTAATATATATTAAAAAGACTTATTCAAAAATATTAATATAAATAATTAATTATAATATTATAATATTATAATATTATAATATTATAAGATTATTTACTAATTATTAAATTAGTTTATAAACTTGAATCTGTATTGGAAGAGAGTAATAGACTGATAAAAATATTAAAATAAAAAGAAGAGATATCTAAAATCTATGCCAATTTCTATAAAAATTGTGTTTACAAAAAAAAAAAAAATAATAATATAGGAAAGTTGTGGGAGAGTAAAGATCAAAGAGAAAGAGGATATAAAGAAATAATAAAGAGAATTTGAAAAGGTGATTCTATACTTGTATAAAGCTTTTCAGAATTAAGATAATATAATTAGTAATAACAGTAACAAAGACTCTTTCACTTTTTTTCTCACAAGTGAGTAATAATTAAAAATTAAAAATTCAAAAGGTAAAATACTTATAATTTGATTTCAATAATTCAAATACAATAATTTGTTTACCACAATATAATATAAATCTTTATAATTCAATAACAACAATTTGTTTAGCACAATATGATTTAAAGTCCAAAGTCAATAATAATGATTTGCTCAGTGCAATATGATATAAAACTATCAGTAATTTAATAAATTCAATATAATATAAGGTTACTTATATATAAAATTTGAAGTATATAAAGAAAATATAAGAGATAAGAAGTATTTGAAAAAAGATTTTTGTTAAGTGAAATTTTTATTTTCAATTATAACATGTTGAGTTAAAACTCAAATAGTACTTTTATTTATACATTTTTTGAAAAAACAATTTCAAGTAATAATAACTATCTAATTAATAATAAAAAAATAACAAATGATGAAATAAATAATGAAAAAAATGATAAATGATGAAAAGTGATGAAAAATGATAAAAAATGAAGAAAAGTAATGAAAAATGATAAAAATGATAAAAAAGTGATAAAAAATAATAATTGATAATAAAAAATAATAAAAATAATGAAAAATAATGAAAAGTGATGAAAAATAATGAAAAATAATGAAAAATAATGAAAAAATAATAAAATATGATGAAAAAGTGATGAAATATAATAAAAAAGTGATAAAATATAATGAAAAAGTGATAAATAATAATAAAAAGCAATAAAAAAGTGATGAAATAAATATCTAATATATTATTTTTGTTGTTTATTAGAGATTATTATTATTTTTAAAGATTTTTAATATTTTCAATTATTTTTCAAATTCAAAATTTTATTTGAATTTATAAAATTACTATTATTATTATAACAATAAGCTTAATAAATTTGAATATTATTCAAAAAAACCAAAAATTATTTCTTTACTTATAAAAGAAAAATGTCAATATTATATCAAATAAATAATTATCTATATCAAAAAACTGGAAAATATCATATTTTCATATAAAATCACTTTTTAAATATTTTAAAATATAATAAAAGTATTCTATAAAGCTAAACAAATATTTTACAAAAAAAATTCCAAAATATCTAGTAAAAATTTATATTTGAACAAATATGAATAAAATACTTTATTGTGAGATTTTAATTAATTAATTATTTCTTCAAAAATATATTTAGAATTATAAAAAAATATTGAATTTTTTAGTAAAAAAATAATTCAAAATATTGAATTATAGAAACAAAAAAACTTTTTTTACTATCAAGTTTCAAAGATTCTTAATTGATTATTTTATAATTCTAATCTTAATCCAATAGAAAATCTTTGAATTGTTATTAAAAATAGGGTTAAAAAATATATTAATAAAATAATTAGAAAAGAAAAATAATTTGTATTAAATATTAATATAATTTAATTAAGAAGAAATAGAAAAATATTTTGTCTAATATGTGTTTTAATTTAGTAAAATTAATATTAGATAATCTAAATAAAGTTCTTGAAAATAATAAAAATGAGTAAATTATTAATATATATATTTATTATATATAAATATCATATCTATTTATCTATAGAACTATAAGTTCAATAAATAAAGCTCTTATAATTTATTATCAAATAATAATTTTTATTATATATATTAAAAATTATATATAATATTTTTAGTTTTTGTTAGTAATATATAATTAAATTCTTTTATAATTATTATTTTTAAAAAAGCAAAATTTTATGATTATAAAAAAATATAACTATAAAAAGTATTGGACACTTTATTTTATAATTATTTTAAAATATATATAATAAATTATTTTTAAATTTTAAATATAATAGTTTATAATTATATAAACAAAATAACAATATTTTATATTTTTTTTATTTATTAAAATCAAAATTTATTAATAAAACTGAAAAAACATATTAAAAATACAATTTTAAAAGATTAAATATTTAAAAACTTTAAAATTTAATTATTTCATTAACCAATAATCAGAATTAACTATTTTTAAAGTATATTTAATTTTACAAAATAAAAAAATTAATAAATTCTGATTGCTAGTTATTGAAATATTTAAATTTAAATTTTTTTTAAATAAATAAAAACTGTGGCAAATTAATTTTATAAGTAGATTTTGATTTTGATTTTTTTAACAATTAATAACCAAAAAAGATAAATTTTGTTAGTTTGTTTATATAGTTATAAACTATTATATTTAAAAATAATTTATTATATATATTTTAAAGTAATTAATAAAATAAAAGTGTCCAATATTTTTTTCACCCCTGTATAAAGATATTTTTTTACTATCTCTTAAATCATCCAGTTTAGCAAGCAAATTTGTCTGCTAAAATACCATAAATTTATATCTGAATATATTTTACCAAATATTAAAATATTTAAAAAAAGTTGTTTAATATTAGCTTTAATTATATATTATATAATAGTTATTTCACTTTTTTAACAATAATAAAAAAATGTAGTTGTCTATTGAGTTAAAAATAAGCAATTTTAAAAAATTTTTATTATTAGTCTTAAATTTTAAAAAAATTTCATAATAAAATTACAGAATTGATTACAAATAAATCAAATATTTTGAGCAATTTATAAATAAAAATTACAAATTTAGTTTATATTGATTAAAAATAGGCTATATTTTTATTTTAGCTTAGAAAGGGGGGGGTTAAGCTTATAAAAATTAGGCGTAAATGTACAAAAATTAGTCAAAAACCATTTTAGCGGGCAAATTTGCCCGCTGGACGGTTTAAGAGATATTTATATATAAATGGAAAGCAAAATAGAGTAACTATAGATAATTATTGATATAATAAGTAGCAATTTATTTATATTTTATATAGATTAGTCTCTGATGGCTAGTTATATCTTGGTCTTAAATGTAGATTCGAATAGTTCATGTTGTACTTTAGTTAGTTGTTTTTAAATTATTTCATATAATTTAAATAACACACTGAAATGAGGCTATACTATAGCATAATAAAAAAAGTAAAAATAATAATAACGAAAATAATAGTAATATAGATAATAGTGATATGTTGTAGAGAAATAACTTTATTAATAGCTTTTCAAAATTACATGTGGTATGTTAATTGATATGTAAAACCGTAAATATAATTTTGCCAGATATTGTTACAAATTAATACTTCATAATTAAAATTATATTATATATTTAGGCTTTATAAGTGTCAGTTCGTATGTTTAAACAAAGTAAATTGATATTTATTTTTTTCATTAATTTTATATCAGCAGCAAATTAATATATTAAAAACACGTAACTTTAATCTACTGTGTATACATCTACAATTTGCAGTTTATATGCTTCAAACGAAGGTAAAATTTATTAATTATAACAAAACTGTGCACGATAATAGCTATTAGTTGATTATAATTTTACTCATGAGTTTGATATTGATATTGAGAATCATTCAAATACAATACACGCATATGACCGAAAATAAGAAACATTTGTTTGGTCCTCTAGCGATTCGAAATGGAGGGGTTCTTATTTTCGAGATTTTTAAGTTTGCCCCACCCAATCAAAAATATAGTAATGAAAAACATAACTTATCATATTTCTCCAAAGTGGAAGGTTTCATGTTTTGGGGTTTCTTATTTTCGGTCATATACGAAGGCTTTTTATTAATAGTGATGTACTATTTCTTGATTCTAATAAAATTAGATTTCAAAAATACGTTTGATTGAAAACGTATTGGAAAATCAAAATTGAATCAAGACAATAGTGATAATATCCATCAAAAAGAAGGTAACTTTACTGATAGCTTTTCAAAAATCACATCGTGAACATAGGCGAAACTGAAAGTTCACTGGTCGGAACGTTTCGGATTTTGAAATAGTTTCGCCACTGGTTATACATCAATAATATCAATAAAGAATTTATTAGTTCAAAATTTGTTCTACAATTTCCTTTGTTTTATCATTAAAAAATCAATGCGTGTTAACAATACTCCTTGAATTTATAAAATATTTCATAACCTACTCCCGATGCTGATGTCAATTTGAGGCACGTCCTCCAAGATAACGATAACCACGAATCTAATCCGAACCTTTACATCCAAATTGAGCGAAAATACCACTATTTGATTTACTTAGACAAATCGGTTCATTGGACGTTGAGATATTATGTCCTAAAGTGACCGATTTATTGTATTCGGAGAATGAAACATGCAATAGCTCTATCAATCTATCAATGATCAGCTTATGCTCGGAAAATTTCAGAACATTACACATAATTTTCGGAAAGTTATCAGAGGCTTTCTGAGCTAATGGTCAGCGATTAAGTTTTGAAAGATCGAAATTAATCTATTACCAAGGTACTATTCTAAATCTAAGAATTTCAAGGTAAATTCAAAGGAAAAAATTTCAATTTATCGATCAGTTGTTATACGCGTGCGATTTAAAATTAAACTATTGGATTTCTCTAACAAGAGCCTTTTTTTCTAATTAAATTTAAAGATCATTAGTCGAAATGATCCAGGAGAGCAGAATCAAAGCAATTCCACACGAATGTACGTTTGTTAAAACAATTAGTATTTGCTCATCTATTTTAAGTCATGCAAAAATAAAAAATTGATTTGTTTGTAAGAAATACCTTTTCTGTAGTCAATAAATTACACCTGTATTTTCGAAATTAATAATTCACGATTTACTTCGTCATATCGATATGATTCTCACGAAACAAGTGAGTAAAAAAAAATCGGCCAAGAATTTCTTGGCGCCAAGAGACTTCTCAATCACTAAGCATAACATACATATAATATATATTGCAAGCGAGAACATGCACCAATAACCCGGAAAAACTAATTTATTTCTACTTGCTTGTAAAACAAGGAGAAAAATGCTTAGAAGCTTTTATTGATAAAACAGAGAGAAAAGAAACCGATTACACAAATTAAAGTATGAAAGACGCTAAACGCATAGTTTGTGCGCATGTGTTTTTCTGTATCACCATCTAAAGTCATAGTGCGGCGGTGTAAGAATATTCGCAGATTAATTTTTACGTGAAATTCTAAATCCTAGCAAGTATATTTCAACCGATACCATGGTTTTCGTCGTGTGATCGGGAATAAAAATGGTGAATATAGCAAAAGTAATTGTAGAAATACTACAAGAGAAGAGATGAGATGAGATGACAATAAAACGAGTACATGTATTAATTTGAAACTGCGTGTCGTTTTGAAATTTGAAGTTTATCATCGTCAAAATCAGAATCTCCTCCTAATCTCAGAACTAACGATAATACGTATGCATAAATTTTGTGACTGCACAAGTAGAAAACCGATCACTTGGACATTATTTAATATTTATGTCTAACCATTATAAATAAGTAGTTAAAGTCAAAAATATTAACAAAATCATTTACAAAGTTCCACCTGGTTCCCCTTCTTCACTTTCTGTTGTTTTTACAACATTGATTTAATAAAATGGGCAACTGTGTGAATAAACCTAAAGAAAGTGTAACAGATTCTGACCCATGTTCAATAGCTGCTCCTTTAACGGAAACGTGTAATAAGCAACGCCAACAACACCAACAAAATTCTTTGGTGTGCTCGATAAATGATCGTTCTTCCAAGTTACACTCTCTGTTTAAGGACACTTGGCAGGAAAATTTTCTTGCACCTGTTCATGATCAACTCAACCGGGGAAATGCGCGAGTTTTAGATCTCAGGTAAAAACTGCGTTCAATTTAGTTTAAATTGTAAAAACAAAATAAATATAATCCTTGCATTTTATATTCTATCAAAAATAAATAGATGCCAAACAGGGGAATGGGTATTAGACGTCTCTGATAAGTACCCACTCGCTAAAATATGGGGAATCGATACCATTACATCAAATTTTTTTCCTTCGCAAAAACCATTAAACTGTAATTTTTTGCATCTTGATATTCTCAATGGATTGCCTTTCGCCGATAACACATTCGACCTTGTTCATACCCGATGTTTAATTTTTACATTGACCGAAATCGAGTGGGAACAAAAAGTAATAAAGGAATTGTCACGTGTACTAAAACCGGGAACTGGTTGGTTAAGTCTCCTGGAAATCAACTTATTATACACAAATGAAGGTCCAGACACTGCTAAACTTACAGAATATAGTAAATATAACATGTTTGAACGGGAAATTTTTCGCTCTATGTTTGTCTTTGAAAATAACCTATTGAATTTTCTTTAAATAGCGAAACTATTTCTTAAAGAAAAGAAAATGAATCCTGATATTGCGAGTCTACAAGCAAATTTGCTACGTGCATCAAATAAATTTACCAATATTCAAGTCCACGAAAGATTTCCCACTTCGGAACATGCGAATAACATTTCTGCAGGAGAATTTGCACTTACAATGTATGATTTAGGCAAGGAATTATCTAACTTTATAGGATTAAATGATGCGGAATATCAGTCTTTGGTAGAATCAAGTGTCAAAGAATTTAATATTTATAAGACTAGCGTTAGACAGACTAGAGTAATTGCACGTAGAATATTGAATTAAGGTCTCGGATAGATATTGATGTAAAGAGATTGAATTTTAATTTTTACATTAATTTAAGTTCAGCAGTACAACTTATAAAAAGACATGCTGTTTGACTTGTTTAAATTGTCCTTGCATAATGAAACTGAAAATTTTTGCGTTAACTAGGAAAATTGAGATCGAACCTTTCTATTGTTAATTGCTCTAAAAGATATTAGTCCAACTTCGAAAAAGATATGTTTCATGCATAAATATTAATTGCTCGAATAAAAATATAGGCATACGTAATGATACACATTATGCTGTAAGGACGATTTCAGCCTTAATCCTCAGGTTGCTGTTTTATTAAAATCCTAGGACTCAAGGTAACTTACAAATTAATAATACATGTTTGTTTAATCGTAATTAATAACGATAACGATAAACAAAAAAATATGTAGGCTCGGAATAACCTACCATTAAAAATTTAATTGAAAGACCATGTTACCGACCGATAGAAAAGACTCTCCAGCATTCAGCATGCCGATTTCAAATTTATCTCATGCACAAAGTGTCATTCCTGATGAATCAATGCCATTTTCTAACAAGGAAATAAAGAACTGATCTATTGAAAGTGTACATGCACGACGAAATTGATTAGAGAATGATTCATTTCCAATTCGTGATGTTCCAAATGGTATTCAATGACCATTCATTTTTGCTTAGTACATGTACATGTATTTCTCCTTTGAAATACATGTACGTATACACTTATTACGTACGTACGTACATATACATGTACATGTAATTCTGCACATGTAAAATGCAATTGAAAGGTCGTGTTACCACCTCTAGCATTCAACGATTACAAAGTCTTCTAACGGGGAAAATAAAGAATGTGATTATTGAATGCGTGTAATACATATATATACAACAACGAAATTGCGATTGATTGGTGAATGATTAATTTCTAATTGTGGTGCTCAAAATGTTATTTCAATGACCATTCATTTACTTTTGCTTAGCGTTAGTATTTCTCCTTTGAAATATACACGTTCTTGATGTTTTTATCTTGAGAAGTCATATTTTTATCTTATTTGATAAAATTATTTTAAAAAATTAAGCTTACAAGACTTAATGTAAAACACACAAGGATTTAGAACTTGATCTTTATTTCGTATATCTATATCTATACGTGTTCTATGCATGCAGAATTTCTTTCGTGAATGTAACAAAAGTATTGACATCCATATCATTCAAGTTTTTTATTGCTTTTCTAGTCTTTGTATTGAAACGAATTATATAAAACAAACTACATGTATTTTATATATATACGTATATGGACAGTACATGTACGTACATGTATTATGTTAGCAAACTGACACTACTTAGTGTGCAAAAAGTAGTGTTCCAAAGTTCGGTTCGAGTTCGACTCGAGTTCGGCTTGAACTCGAGCTGAACTGGCCAATTTGGATTCGAACTCGAACTCAAAAGGTTGTTTGAATTCAAGTTCGGTTCGACTCAAAGTTAGGGATTCTACTATTCTGTATATAAAAATCAAAACCTGTAATTAGATTTTAATATATTTAATAAAAACACGTATCTAACAGAAATAACTTTAACTTATAATATTATTATTATCTTTTATTACATTCTTTACTAAACAAATATATTATTTATTTATTGCTTTATATAAAAAGTGAAAATGAATTTAATTTTAATATTTTAAGATCTATCAGCTAGATTATCTTTAAGCAAAACTTTTTTATTGCATCTTTTTAATAACCAATTATTCAATTTAGTTGAAATCAAAATGGATTCAGCAATTTTTATTATTAAACCATCTGAATTCTTTAAAAATTTATACGTAGTAAATTATCTATAAAATTACTTAATTTCTGATTCTGAAAAAACATGTAATTCAGACAAATCTATATAAAAATATTACTATAAAAAGTGGTTGATTACATATAATTTATCTGAAAAAACATATTAAAGCCAATTAATTTTATATAATATATAAATTTGGTCCAGATCAAGTCAAAACTATCATGTGATTAAATTATACAAATAATAATAATTAATTTAAAAATTTTAGCTTTCAAAAATTGTTTACAGATCTTTATATATATAAATATTTATTAAATAATAAAAATTCTACCCTTAAAATTAATATATATTGTTATTATTTTAGTTGAATTTTATTCTTTATAAATATATCATGTACACATCCCTATAGTATATTACTGAAAATTTTAAAAATGAATTTGTCACTTTGGAACCCGATATTTCGATATCCAATGATCTTATTTGAACAAAAATATTATCTTTAGATTCATTTTGACTATACAAATTTAATGGTAATATTTTTGTTCAAACAGGATTACTAGATGTCGAGATATCGTGTACTAAAGTAACAAATTAATTTTTGAAATTTCTGGTAATATAATGTAGGAGTGTGTATATAACTCAAATAGAAGAAATATATAGTGTATCTAACTTAGTCACAGCAAATACTATACTATTACTGAAATTTTTGAGTGATAATCATTACATGTAACTATTATATGATTTTTCTTCTGATTAATGAAAATGTATTATATAAAATATAAATATATATATTATTATATATTATTATTATTTCTGTTCTGTATTATTAAATTTGTGCTTTTTAGTTAGTTCTACATTATTAATTTTGATTTTATTTGGCTGGTTTGACATTATTAATTTTGCTTTTATCTGATTAATTCTCATATAGTATTTTTATTCTAAAAATAATTCAAAATTTATATCTTTAAAATAAAAAAAATTTCTTATATTCTTTATTTTAATAATCAAAAATTATATTTTATATTTCAAATCTATTATTAATTTATTATTCTCTCTTTACTTATTTAATAAATAATATCAAAGTGAAATAAATATACTAAATATTACATATCAGCTATTGTTACCGTAGTAACATAAATTTTTCTAATTCGATAATCTTTTATTGATTATGTGAAATTTCCTTTTTCTTAATTTTTATAATTTATCACCTGATTATTATTATTTTTATCCAATCATATAATTATCTCACTTTTATTTTATTCTAAATCTTATATTTATATTCTGAATATCATATTTATTCCCTTTTTCTATCTTTATTATCTACTTTATTTATCTTTTCTATCTTTTTTATTTATCTTTTTTACCTATCTTTTTTATCTTTATTATCTACTTTATTTACCTTTTCTACCTTTATTATTTATTTTATCTACCTTTTTTACCTTTATTATCTACCTTTTTTATCTTTATTATATCTTTATTTTCTACTTTTTTTATCTTTTTTATCTTTATTATTTATCTTTTTTATCTTTTTAATCTCTGTTATTTATCTTTTTTATCTTTATTATTTACTTTTTTTATCTTTACTATCTTTATTTTCTATCTTTTCTACCTTTTTTTCTTTACCTTTTCTACTTTTTATATATCTCTTTTTATAATTTTGTAATATAAATAGAATTAAAATGTATTGAGAAATTTTGTATAAATAAGAATGCTATCTTTACACATATTCTTTCATGTTTCAATACTAAAAATAAATTAATAAAGTTTAATTTTTAATACAATAAATTAATAATTGTCTTATTATTATAAAATTAATATTTATTCTTGTATTTTTTTTTATTGAATCAAATTATCTGGCAAAAATAATTTGTTAATTGAATTTTAAATTTTGTAATTCAAGTCATTTTTTGTAAATCTTGAATAAGATAAAGAAATCAAATATTAATTTGTATAGAATTGAATTTTTGACATAGTTATATATTATAACTTTAAATAAGTGATATTGATTTGTATAATTGTGTACTATAACTTTAAATAAGTAATATTAATTTGTATAGTTATGTATCGCAATTCTAAATAAGTGATATTTCTATTAGTAATTATTTTCTTCAGTATTGTTATAGCGATTCTGGATTAAAGATGGCACGGCAACTGTTGCAACGTGGTGACAAATAAAGCATCATCTAGTTGCAACTAGTTGCAGCTTATAAAATTTTGGAGTT